TTAACATCCATCTGGTGTAATTCCATATCAAAATGAGCTACTAATGCCATAATCACTATGAAAGAATCTTTAGAAGAGACTGGAGAAAAAGTCGCTTCATAGTCTACTCCTTCTCTTTGAGTGAAACCCTTAGCTACCAGTCTGGCTTTGAACTTCTCAATCTTTCCTTTGGAGTCTCTTTTAGTCTTGTATACCCATTTGCAACCAATGGGCTTGTAACCTTTAGGCAATTCAACAAGCTCTCAAACACCATTATATTTCATAGACTGAATCTCGTCTTTCATTGCATCCACCCACATATCTGATTGAGGACAAGAAATTGTATCTGAATGAGTTACTAGATCAACCACGCAGCCTATATCGTAGTCATGCTCTTCTAGATAGACCATATAATCTGATGGTATAGCCGATCGTCTCTGCCTGATAGATCTCCTGAGTGGAGCTACTACTTCCTCATCCTGCACCTGAGGGGTTTGAAGTACTTCATCAGGAGCTGTTTTAATAACAGGATCCTGGACCACAACAGGCTCAGTCTGTGGTGTATGGGTCTCCATTATCGTCTGTACAGATAGAGAAATTGACACTGTAGTACCTACCATAATATTATCCTCAATGGTCTGAGAGCAACTACCTCCTTCGGCCACATCAAATTCCAGAAACTTCGCTGTCTGTGATTCGACAATTCTTGTGCCTCCACCACAACAGCCCGCCCAGGGTGTATGGGTCTCCATTATCGTCTATACAGTAGAGAAATCGACACCGTAGTACCTACCATATTATTATCCTCAATGGTCCGAGAGCAACTATCTCCTTCGCCACATCAAATTCCGTAAACTTCGCCGCCTGTGATTCGACAATTCTTGTGCCTCCATGGGGACTGTAAAACCGATACCCCTTCGAATGATCTGGGTAAGATACGAAATAACATCGAGTGGTTCTGGATTCCAACTTGCTCAATGTTGGATTGTATAACTTTACTTTTGCAGGATACCCCCAAACTTTAAGATGATTTAGGCTAGGTTTACGTCCAGTCCATAATTCAAAAGGAGTCTTTGGAACAACCTTGGTAGGAACACGATTTAGAATGTAGAAAGCTGTTCTCAAGGCTTCACCCCACAGAAAATCAGGTAAGTTCGTCCTGCTAATCATACTCCTCATCATGTCCATAAGGGTGCGATTCCGTCTTTCGGCCACATCGTTTTGTTCAGGACTCCCGGGTATAGTAAATTGAGCCACTATTCCTGAATCTTCTAAGTATTTGGCAAATGGCCCTTTCAGCTGTCCAGCATCGCCATGACTGCCATAATACTCACCACCTCGGTCAGACCTGACAACCTTTATGACTTTTCCCAGCTGTTTCTCGACTTCAGTCCGAAAAATCTTGAACTTGTCAAGAGACTCAGACTTCTCCTTAATCAAGAACAGATAACCATATCGGGAATAGTCATCTGTAAATGTGATGAAATAGAAATTTCTACACAATGTTGCCGTATAGGGTCCACTGATGTCAGTGTGAATGACTTCCAAAAGGTCAGAACTACGGACTGCGGTTTTCTTCTTTATCTTGGTCATCTTACCCCTACAACAATCTACGCAAGTATCTAGGTCACTTTCAAGAGTAGGCAGGATGTTTATCTTTATCAGCCTTTCCACTCTTTCCTTAGAAATGTGACCAAGTCGTTTATGCAACAATGCATAAGACTGTTCCTTAGGTAGAGGTCTTTTGGAAACAACCCTTTCAGCTGTATAAGCGACGTATATATCATTGGGAGATAAACACAATATGTACAATCCATTCGATATGTTGCAGCACCCAACCTTATTTGAATCAAAGAACATAGAAACCACATTGTTCTTTATTTCAAAAGAGTAGCCACAAACATCCAAACTTGATACGGAAACTAAGTTCCGTCTGAAGGAAGGCACATAAAAGGTGTTTCTTAACATCATATTAAAATCAGAATCCAAAATTAATATGACATCTCCCACGACCTCGACGTCGACTCTCTTGTTGTTTCCTACAGTGAGCTTTAATTCATCTTGATTTGGCTTCCTTCTGTTTGTGAATCCCTGACTGCTCACGCTTGGACAACCAAGATTTATATCTATTGCAGTCTTTCTTCATGTGACCCTTCCTCCTACAAAAGTAGCAGTGAACACCATTTTTCTTCAAAGGTGTTTTCTCAGGACCCAGATTGTCTAAATGACCGGTGGTTTCAGGAGTTCCTTTCTGAGTACGATTCTTGAACTTACTACTCTTCCTGCTACTGGAACTAGAGGCATAGAAAGCAAGATTCCCTTTATCTTTCTTCAGTTTCTCTTCCTCTGCCACAACCCTAACTATCAGGTCATTGACCGACCACTTTTTATCTTGGGAATTATAGTTGGTCTTTATAATTCCAAACTCAGTAGGAATGGTGTTCAGGGCTTGATGCACAATGAAGGCATCAGAAAGAATAATCTCATGGACCTTTAGTTTTGTCTGGAGGTCTACCATCCTAAGGACGTAATCCCTAACCCCACTTGAACCATCATACCTCATATTATTGAGTAACTACATGTATGTCCGAGCCTCAGCATTAGACGAGTCACGGTTCCTTGCTTGCAAGGTTTCCATCATTTCTTTAGCAGTGCAGTCAGCTGGAAAACTACTTTTCAAATGGTCCTTAATGGATCGCTTCATCAGTAACAAGCAAATCCTATTGCTCTTTGCCTAAGCGGCACTCAGTGTCTTTTCCATATCCGTACTTTCAGCAGTGACATCTGCTAGCTTATCCTCAGTAAGAGCAATATGAATATCTGCCAGCTCCATACCAAACAGAAAATCCTCTTTCCATTTCTTAAAGTTTGAACCAGTAAGAACCTCAATATTTATGGAGTTGCCGTTCAGGGAGAAGGTGACTGTTAAAAACAAGCAATATCTATAATCAGCATCATGTGAGTACTTTCCTGAGAGTTACACACATCATCATATAATCACCTTTGGGCAGAATACATGACATGCAATTATATACCCTTTACATGACAACGGCCATGAGAATGTATTCCAATCTTTTATGAATTCACCACCTTTGGGTGTATGAACCACTAGGATCAGTCATTCCTTACGCATGCTGTACATGTATCCCTCCATGAACCAATACATAATCACCTCCTTTGGGAGTATGATAACACATTAGAACAGAAGACATCCTAACAATACGAGACTGATATTTCTCAAACTCAATTAAGTGTGCCACTTTGGCGGTCACTACCAAATTGAATCATTGAAACTCTCTCATACTAAGGATATAAACTTTATGTCTCACATATACTATATAGATGTAATTCTAGACTGGAAGATATTGGCAATGTCTCTAAAATTACATACCATGCTAATTACATTACTTTATACATTGATATATGTCAAACCTTATACATACTATCAATGAAACATGATCTACATGTCCTTAAGTCATCATATACATGTAAGCTTTAATCTGTATCTCTTAAACCATAGAGAAATACAAGAAAATACGAAAATATACCATAAAAATACATGTATATAGGGTTCCATATGTATTTTCACATCCTTAAAAGTATCAAACATGTAAAATAAATATACCACAGTGTAGATAATCCTTATACGAGCACGCCGGTACCTTGCACGCTCCAAACGGAGGCCGGACGCGCCCTCACGCGCCTCATGAAGGTGAGGCGTGTGGGCCTCACGCGCCGGCACCTAAGTCGACCAAAAAAGCCGGTCCGACCCGGTCCGAAGCAGGTCGGCGCTGCCGGCGGCCCGGCTTACTGCCGTCCGTCAGAGTTGGCCAGGTTCGGTCAACAGTCGGGTTCGGGTCAAGTCAATCCCCGGGTCGGGTCAATAGGTTGGACCTTGGGTTGGGTCAACGGGTCGGGTCTGGGTCAAATCCGGAGTCGGGTCGGGTCAGCCGGATCGACCCGGCTCGCGGAAACCCTAGCGCGTGCGTTGCACGAGCCTGGGAACACCTGCGCGTGGCCGCGTGTGTGTCGCCGGGGCTCTCCCATGCCCCGGCGCGTGCGGCCACTCCCGGCGGCCCCTGGTGGCCTGCGACCACTCATTTTTCTCGTCTCGCGACGATCTATCCATCTATGTGATTTATTCTAACATTCAACGGATGAAAAAATCAAAACCACATACGAACAGTACCGGCCCGTTTCTCGACTATGGCGGCTCTGATACCACATGTTGGCCGGCCCGTATGGCTCGACCGAGTGCCCTAGGATCACCATAGCGAGATATTAACGGTACGGTAAAATGATGGATAGAATTTGTGCACCTGATTTGGATTCCATCGGTCTGGATGCGGAAATGACGATGAACCGGTGCCGTAGGTCTTCTCCCCTGTCACCCCCCGAAGTCCCGGCGCTATGAGACCGCCTCAGCCAACTCACGGAAGCCTTAGGTGAGTTTGAGAGCGTTTGAGAGAGATTGGAGAGAGTTGGGTACAGAGGAGGGACCTGCAGCTCTATTTATAGAGTTTCCAGCCAGGTCCTCTCATAACGGGCCGAGCCGAACTCGGCCCACACAAGCCGGGCCCATATATGACCAATTAAGAAATCTTATATCCAAACTTATTAGACCAGACCCGTAAGCGGGTAATAACAATCTCAATTAATGTAACCCACATTAGGAAAACGTTACAATAACCTCCTCTTCTCAAGCCAATATATTGATGTTGGATGAATAATTCAGACGGTAGCGTGCCAATCTTCATGATTACCAGTTTAATCGTGCCTTTCAAGAAGCGAACACATGCACGTACAAATCTTTCAGCGAGGATGGGAAAGGCTAAAGACCACCGACTTATTTTTCCATTATGATTGTACAACGAGCTCGAGCTCGACATGAACACCACGAGACAGATCTTTATTCTATCGGTGAGAGAGAAGGAAAACAAACTTAGAAACCACGCCAATAACCAAATCTGGCAAACCGGAATCACAAATTGCAACCTCATAAAGGTAAAACAGCATCATATCTAGCGCTTTTCGTGAACAATGGACGGGCCATCTTCATCGTACTCAGCCTTTGAAATCCACATCTGCATCAAGAATAGTTTCGAAACCAAAAAGGCCATCAGAATTGCACACAACCAACAATTTGACTATGCTAGTCATTTGGTGATATGAATGCCTCAACTAGTCCATGGAACACTCAGCAATTATTCAGTGACCAATTAGCTGTATATAAATGAGTCTAGACCAATAAATTTGGTGAGACCCACCACTCTAAACGTCCTCAATTTACTGTGATACATGTACTTCCCTCTTTGTTACTTTCACTCTTTTCTCTATTAGGAAGTTTTTAAGAAGTTTAAGTAGACAAAGGGGGAAAAAACATGATGCGGATTTTGTGCTTAAGTTACCCTTTTTAGTGCTACCAGTTTGATCAAAACGCTCGACAGTTTTATGACGATGGTCCATGATGACTTTCGGCAGGAAAAGAAAACTTTGGAAGTCTTAAAGCGCAAGACCAGAAATATCTGTTCAGTTAAATACCGTCTGGAATGTGCTAAGAGAAGCAAGTATGGACCCTCCAATCCAAACGCTGTACTTTCTCTCCGGAGGAGCGACCACCTTGACTTTATAGTTGCGTGTCTTGAGGGCGGTGATCTCGTTACTGAGGCGCTCAGCGAATCCTGGAAACATAGTCGATCCTCCGCTTAGCATGATGTTCCCATAGAGGTCCTTCCAGAGGTCATCGTCACACTTCTTGATCGAACTGTGAACGGCCTCGTGAATCCCGGGCATGTCCATATCGACAAGTTGCGGCTGGAATAGGACTTCAGCACACTCGAACCGCTCAGCTCCGATGGTTACGACCTGTCCATCGGGTAACTCATATTGTTTCTTAATTGTCGAACTGCTTTCAGTGGCTTCAAGCTCCTTCTCGTAATCAAGAGCCACGTACCCGAGCTTCTCCTTGATGTCGCAAACGATTTCTCGATCTTCTGTTATTATAGATGGATAACCTCTCTCACTTAAGATGTTCATCAAAGCTTCGGTCGAGCTTCTCCCCGCGAGGTTTAGCCAACTAACGGAAGGGTCCACCTTGTAACCTTCATAGATCGGCACTGTGTGGGTCACTCCCTCCCCAGAATCTAGCACCATACCTGGACAAGAACAATCATTCTCTCGTTAAGAAGCAAACAGGAAACTTCGGGACGAATAATGCTAGAGATATCGATGCCGTCGGCGGTATGCAAAATTAATTCATCTGGTGGTGGCAAATCGAAACGATGGACTCTTAAACAAAAGGATCATATCCAGCCACTGACCCACGGGCTTCCACGTTACTTCGTCAATGATAGTCATAAACCGGTTTTCGTATCTCCATCGTTATTCTTTTTAAAATTTTTGGAAATGTAAATATTCCGGTCACGACAAAACCTGTAGTACGGCCACTGGCGTAGAGGGAGAGAGCTGCTCCGACATCAACATGCAAAGCAGGGACATTGAAGGTCTCGAACATGATCTGCGCCATCTTCTCTCTATTGGCCTTAGGGTTGAGGGCCGCTTCGGTGAGGAGCACCGGATGCTCTTCGGGATTGACGCGCAGCTCGTCGTGGAAAGTGTGATGCCAGACCTTCTCCATGTCCTCCCAATCGCGCACGATCCCATTTTCCATCGGAGACTTCAAGTTGAGGATGCGCCTCTTCGACATGACTTCGTCCCCGACATACGCGTTTTTCTGGCCCATCCCAACCTTGACGCCGGGATGCCTCGCATGGCCCACGATGTTGCGGAAGACAGCCCTGGGAACATCGTCCCCGGCAAATCCGGCCTGTCGAATCCGATCGGCACGCGAACACAGCATCACGTCCACGAAAAGTTGTGCGGATAATCACAAAGCTAATGTACACATAGTCATGCATGATTTCTTATCTACTAAGTGACTCACCTTAACCATTCCGGTTCCGATGTCAAGAACGAGGGGCTGGATGTCCTCCCCATCCGCCATTTTTTTCTTGTTTGGGGCGGCGGGGGGTTTGGTTTTACTTCACGCGAATGCTTAACACGTTATGGAGAGAATGTAGCAATACCCAAGACTTGTTGATGAAGCGTGACAAACTGGGAGCGACCTGCCGTTTTTATAATCTTGCCTTCCCAACGGCCATCGTTTTGTCCTTTCTATCTCCCTAATCTCTACCTGCCATCGTTTTGTCTTTTGATCAACAGGAGGACTATGGACAAGGATGTGCAATAGTTTAAGCCAAATCTGTGTACCATCTAACACAGTTTTGTTTGATAGTCAGCGATCTAATCCTCTTATGGATGTATCTGCCCGATGTCGTGTCCATCCAAACCATTAATTCCCGTGAATAAAAATAGTTGTGAAATCTATTGTTAATGTATTAACGGTTGAAATTTGCTTCTAGAGGCTGTCCCTGTAAGTTCAAAAGACGACTACCTCGATGAGTGGTCAATGCTAGATTCAAGACACATTCATCAGTGCACCAAATGCATCATGTGAACTCAAAACATCTTGGCCTGTAGATCATATACATCCCATGTGAGATCCAATTACATCAAAGGTTGAATTATATTAGGCTCACATGCAACGTGATCATTTTAATTACTTTTTGTTATTCAAAGCTAGGGGTCCAAACTTAGAGGGGGAGCTGTAGCGTAAACATCGAGAACCTTTTTTGCTTCTTGGTAGTCTAAGAGACTTTACATTGACTTTGTAAAAATCAATTTAGATTAAACTACAAATAAAATATATAAGTTTTTTTTTTCACAGAAATAGTACGGTCCCATCACCAAGCAATAAGACATGTAATCTAATCCATTTTCACTCATTCACCATCTGAGAAGCCTGCTACCTAGGAGCCAAACATAGTTTGATCCCTGTTGGCCCCGTTGGATCACAAATTGGACCTAGCCGATCTGTCATCGAACCACACATCTAATAGAGGGAAACTGTTCTATTACTATATGGAACAACATTGCCCGTTTCGCTAAATCAAGCTTCTAAAAAGAATACTTTGAATGACCACACTAGATATATAATGACCATTTGAGGGATAGATCTTACTTATAGATTATATCACAATGTCTCTCCCCTTCGATGCGGGACATGAAGTAGGTCACAAGTGCAAAGGTCAAGTACCACTCGGAGTCTTTGAGCCTGAAGCTCATGTCTTGGCACATATACTAACAAAAACTGTGACGACCTAGACCCTAGGCGGTGGGCGCAAGATGAGGGATGGCAGGGGAGGCTGCGCCTCTACCCTGGACGTGCGCGGGGCGAGGCTAATCACACGTCTCTTGTCCCACATCGCCGAGGGGGGAGTCCTAGGCTAGTTGATAAGTCTTTGGGTTCTCTACTCTGTGTAACGCGTTTTAAAGCCATGAAAGCCAGTGAAACTAAAGCAGACAATATTACACAATGGTAGCCTCCCAGGATCCTTACAGGTGGTATCAGAGCCGACTCCAGACTGCGTGTGGGGTCACAACGAGAGCGCTGTGCCCGTAAGGGGTGGAGAATGTGACAACCCAGACCCTAGGAGGCGGGCGCAGGATGAGGTATGGTAGGGGAGGTTGCGCCTCTACCCTGGACGTGCGCAAGGTGAGGCTAAGCACATGTCTCTTGTCCCACATTGCCAAAGGAAGGAGTCCTGAGCTAGTTGATAAGGCTTGGGATTCTTTACTCTGTGTAGCATGTTATAAAGCCGTGAGGGCCGATGGGCCCAAATCAGACAATATTACACAGTGGTAACCCCGGAGGTCCTTATAAAAACTAACCGCCAATTTTGGACACCAGATTCCGCACCAAGTTGCACAATTGCACTCCAGGAAAGATGATCGTGTACTCGAGCCTGGCAACTTTCACTTCTAATTATTCCATGAGATTATTGTTTCTAGCAAGTATTGCATAAATCGGACGTATATAAATATCAAACAGAATTTGGTCCTAAATAATTGAGTGCACGAGCACATGTGAACAATCAGCATCCTAAAAAGTCAAGGTTCTAACTTTGTTTATGTCATATAAGGCAAATCTCAGAGAAAGACTTGTCTAAATAATTCAAACCTAGTTTTGACGCTAACCCAACATGAATAATCCCATGCCTTGTGCATGATCATAAGTGGTTTTCTTGCACAACTTGCGGCTTCAACTAGGGGCAAAAGCAATCGAAACCACTTGCGAGAAACTTGGGTTCGGTTCGATGACTGTTTGATCGGCTCACTTAGTCTCAAGTCGAGCTCGAGCCGGAGCTACTCGAGTGTTTTTTTCCCGAGTCGACCTCAAGCTTGTCAATATTGTGCTCAATAGACTCGCGAGCCTGGTGGAGTTTTCATTATCCTTTTAAAAAATATTTAATATAAAACAGACTCACTATTCTTAAAATTACAAAAATATTCAAGCTCATAAAACTCAAGCTCGGGCTCGAGCTATATATGTGAGTTGATGTCTCAAGACTAGACCTGTCAAATGGGTGGGTCAGGTCGGGTTTGGGTCGGGTCATAAATGGTCCGACCCAAATTGACCCATTAACCCATTTATGCGTAATGCAATTTTCTTGACCCATACCTGACCCGACCCATGCATACCCAACCCATACCCGATCAAATTCATATTGCTAAATTACTTCCATATTTAATTAAATCTAGGAAAATTCATACCCATACTGAGATGAGAGTGCGAAGTGAGTGAGCGCAAGGTTGAGTAAGGGTGAGAGAGATGAGTTGAGTTTAAATCAGTTGTAAACTCATTTATGACCTATTTACGATCCATTTAATACTAATATTAGACTTCTACCCATTTATGATCCATTTACTAGATATAACTAACCCATTTATGACCCATTTACTAATATATGGGTTAAGAAATGGGTTTATGACCCATTTTGACAGGTCTACTCAAGACGAGTCGAGTCGAACTTCAAGGAGAAAATATTCAGTGGCATCATACCACTACGTCACCAGCTTACGTGGCAGGACTGAGCTTGCCTGGTTTCACCCAAAATTTGGCACGGGGAATAAAAAATTAAAGTTGGAAGCCTTTTTTCTCTCTCCTCTGGTGCATTTGCACAAACGACTGAGCCAAGAAGCCTAACATTCATTGCCTCTCTCTCTCTCTCTCCTCTTTGTAACAAAATTGATTTCATTTGAATGGTTTTCCCTCTCCCGATTCCGAGCTTCCATCCTCCTCCACCTTCATCCTCATCGCCGTTGTTGCCTTTCTGGCTCCGGCTCCATTAACCGCCGACTGCCTTGTGTACGTCGCCAACGATTTTGAAGCGGGAAGCGGAAGCGGAAAAGGAAGAGGCTGGTGGCGCTGAGTTTTGGGGTCTCGGTGAAAAGGCTTCCGAGGCCCTTTCTCTATGGATTTTGAGGCGAAAGAGGCCTTCGGTTGATCGCAGCGGCTGCATTCTGAGCCCCCTTCGCCTCCGCCTCCGGAGCCCCATCGGTGAACTCTTTGAGATATAAATCACCAGCACGTCGCCTCCGCCTCCTCCTCAGCTGCACAGAAAAATTTTCTTGTGCTTCCATTTCTCTCTCTCTCTCTCTCTCTCTCTCTCTCTCTCTCTCTCTCTCTCTCTCTCTCTCTCTCTCTAGCTTGTGCATAAATTGAGATCTATCTCGCCTAATGGTGAATCACTGAGAAAGAAAAATGCTGCAAATGCTTGTCTTTACAGGGTAAGGGAACGGGGAGCTTTGGTAAGAGAAGGAACAAGATGCACACGTTGTCAACGCAACTACTTCAGAACAATGAAGAAGTCTCCTAAATCCCAGTCACTTGGATGGCCAATTTCACTGAAGTCGCTAGCTCTAGTTCCCAACTCAATCACCGAGAACCCAGAAAATATTTGAAAACTCGGGCATATAAATGTGAGCATTAATTATTAGAGCCGATGGGGCTCTGGAGGCGACGTGCTGGAGGCGAAGGCAGAGGGGGCTCGGGACCCAGCTGCTGCGATCGGCCGGAGGCCTCTTCCGCTTCTGCTTCCGCCTCAAAATCCATAGAGAAAGGGCCATCAGAAGCCTTTTTGCCAGGACCTCAAAACTCAGTGTCACCAGCCTCTTCCGCTTTCGCTTCAAAATCGTTGGCGGCATACACGAGGTAGTCAGTGGTTTCTGGAGCTGGAGTCGAAAAGGCAATGACGGCAACGAGGACAAAGGCGAAGGAGGAGGATGGAAGCTTGGAATCAGGAGAGGGAAAGTAAGGGTGAGCATAGTTCGGGTGGGCGGTTCCCACCCTGGAACCGTGGACCGCTTGCTAAGGACCGGTTCCAAAAAATTGGAACCAAGAACCGCCCGTCGGTTCCATTGACCCACCCGAGAACCGGACCGCCGTTCCGGTTCGGTTCCCGGGTAGGTCTATGGAACCAGTCCCACTAAGTTTTTCTGGACAAATAAAAAAATGGACTGGTTTAATTCTTGCCCGTTGGTGGATTGTGTTCACCACATGCTACTTTGCTTCACATCAAATACATCCGTAGCCTATATTATATATCACACATGGGAGTTTGCCACAAGTTCACAATGGTCAGCAAGCAAACAAAAGAACAACTTTCCTATTTTCTTTTTTTAAAATATTTTTTGGTCAGATTTTTTAAATTAAAAATTAAAAAATTAAATATATTATTATGATATTACCGTCCGGTCCGGGTGGGCGGTTCCACACCGGGAACCGGACCGGTACCCACCGGTTCCAATTTTTTGGAACCGGGAACTGGACCGGTTCCCTTGGGAACCACCGGTTTCGGTCCGGTTCCGAGCGGTCCTGGACGGTTCGAGCGGGTCCCGATTCTTTTGCACACCCCTAAGGGAAAGCCACTCAAATGAAATCAATTTTGTTACAAAGAGGAGAGAGAGAGAGGCGATAAATGCGAGGTTTCTTGGCTCAGTCGTTTCTGCAGGAGCGCGAGATGAGAGAGAAAAGAGGCTTCCGATTTTAATTTTTTATTTCACGTCAGATATCACGTGTCAAATTTTGGGTGGAATCATGCAAGCTCAATCACACGACGTAAGCTGGTGGCGTGGTGGTACGATATCACTGAATATTTTCTTAAAACTTGGAGTGTATGGCAACAATCCTGTGTCACGACCAGTGGCATGCAAGGTGAGTACAGCTTCTATGGCAACATGCATATCAGGGATATTAAAGGGTTCAAACATGAACTGTGTCATCTTCTCCCTCTTTGCTTTAGGGTCGAGGGGTGCTTCGGTGAGGAGAACATTGGACGTTCCTTTGGCGGCGACTCGCAGCTCTTTATAGAAAGTGTGGCTCCATACCTTCCTCGCGTCGTCCCAGTTTTGAATGATCCCCTGCTCTATTGGATACTTCTTAATTTCAGGGTTTCTCTGAATTTGAAAGTTGATGCCGGCGTGCCTCGGCTGACCAATGATGCTGGGGAAGACAGCTATTGGAGCGTCATGTCCGTTGAATTCGGCCTGTTCGACGCAATCGATATACGAACGAAACAACAGCGCTACACGCTCCATGAAAATCTATAACTAGAGCAATAAAGCTATGCGCTCCATTCGATTTCTTTCCAACTCACCTTAACCATTCCAGTTCCATTGTCAATAACAACAGCCTCAACGTCTGCCACCCTTGCTCCCTTTCTTTGAGCAAACAATCCAGGGATACAATACGACTTCGCCGAAGTGTGAGTCATAATTGCAAACTGAGATCGACTAGACACATGAACCCACCCTTTTTATCGTACATTTGATCTTGATGATCTTTGTTGTGTTTTTCCCTCAACGGCCTTTGTTCCGTCCTTTTTGGCCATCCTCGACGGCTACACATGTCCTAAATGGATGGCGTGAAAAGAGTCGGGCAAAAGAAAATATATGAAGCAACTTATGTTTGTAGTAAGTTAAACACTGGTTTTGTTTTTGTTTTGGTCAACGATGAAACAATGGAAGATAACCACGTTCCATCGTTCGGGTTTAATCAGAGAGTCAAGTCCACAAAATGAATTTTATTTCAAGAAATTCAAATTCTAAATATCATTTCACGAGCTCTCTTCACTACAAACGGACTATAAGCAGTGTATGTGGGACTGTAGAGATTATCTCCTCACACTCAAAAGATGGCTCACCCTTTCCCCGTAATGCTCACATACTATGTTTTATGCCCGGAGCTTGAAACTTGAAACATTTTATTGCTTTGATGTGAGTGGGCCCGAATGTTAGGTCTAACGTGTTGCCCAAGCTTGTCGCAACATAAAATGTACATAGAAATCTATGGGCTGCACCGGGCTTCTTAGGTAAGAACATCGCCCAAGCGTACGCGGGCCGAGCAGATCGCTTTCTCGTTGAAGGCCTCTATACTACTGTTGATATTCCATAAGGCTAAGACCGCATATGCAAAGAATATGAGGAGCTGAAGAGAGGAAAGAAAGGCTGGGGAAATGCAGTTACCCAAACAAGGAGTGCCAAAGCTCCTAGCTTGTTGGGTTGGCTGAGTTTTAGTTGTACATATTCTTTTTGATGGATTATAGATGTTGAGAAAACCTCCTGATAGATTTTGAAGTTGAGAAAACTATCAATGTGTGTTTTGTAAGTCTGATAAATGTCTTGAAGTATTTTGATTCAGGAGATTATTCTTGGAAAAGAAGATGTGACAATCTTATTCAAAATAAGATTACAGAATTTACTTCAAGTAAAAGAGGTTCGGACTTTACACTAGAAATGAAGGGTTCAGACTCTAAAGAACAACCCATCTTGACATAAATCTTGAATGCATAAATCTAGATTTTGGCACAAATTCAGAACGTATATAACGACTAGTGATATGGCTCGAATTTTACATATAGAAAGATTTGATTGATTCAATCTTGAAGGTTATTTTGCAAAGTAAATTTATAATGCAAAATATCATAAATTGATTGACAATCAATCTCGAGGCAAATTTCCTATTAAATGGAGAAGCTTTACTTATGGAAACCAAGACTTTAGTTGTATGGACGACCAGATTCGGCGGGATTTAGATTTTGTCACTCAACGGCTACTCTATCCCCTTAATACAAATTTGTCTAAGATAAAGATTAGAAGATAATCTTCTGAAGACTGTCTAACAGTTAAATTGAAAGTGGAGGTGTATAAAAGGAGACCAAGTCCCGAGGAGCATAAGCAAGAGATGAAATCCATAATCTACAATTCCAAAGTCTGAGCATACTCCAATCTTTGTTACTTGTCCTTCATGAGCTAAAACTTATGATCCTTGAGAGAAATACTGTAAGAGTGATTAAGTGAGATAGTGTGATCTATTATTCACTGAGTGCTATCACTCACATTTGTAATATCTTCATTGATCATCTAGTGGAATCCAACCAGTAAGCTGTCAGCGTGGGAGAATAGACATAGACTTGATCTAAGCCGAACCACTATACATCTAGTGTGCAGATTTTCTTATCCTTTAAAGCTCCTTTTATTTATTACATTGCACATTTACATAATTTCTATCAAAAACTGTTTTAAATCTAAATGTTATTTAGACTTTATTGTTGATCTTTTAATTTCACTTTAAATTGGTCAAGAATGATTTAAAATCACCTATTCACCCCCTTTTAGGTAATCATTGCTAGTCATCTTAAATAGAAACTCTGATGTTGTAACCAACATGTTGGTTTATATATATAAGAAGATATATATATATATATATATGTATATATATATGTTGTTAACAAGCTATTGGTTGTGTGTAGGGTTGTGTCCTTTGTGTGGAAGCACAACCATGTCATACCGATATCCCTATAGGATTTGGGGTGTGATATCTTTTGGTATCAGAGTTTAAGATGTGATATGTTTGGGTATAGTTTTTTATGGGACGTTGTGAGATTGCGTGATAGTTTTAGCCCGTTAATCTTCTAGGTGCTGAGGTTTCATTTTGCTTTGGATTCAGGTTATTATGCGTTCTGACTCGAAGATGTTTGCCTCGCTTCATAAAAATAGTAAAGGCAAGCGAGTCGCTACCCTCGACATCAGAGATATGCCTCAAGTTTCTCGAGGCATGGCTTAAAAAAGGAGATTGGATCATCGATTCGAAAGGAGTCCCGACTCGCAAGATACAAGGGACAAACTTCGTGAGCCTATTGTTGAGAAATCTTCCTAATAGATTTTGAAATTGACAAAACTATCCGTGTGTGTCTTAAAGTCTAATAAATATCTTGAAGTATTTTGATTCAGGAAGTTAATTTTGGAAGAGAAGCATATGACAATCTTAATTTTATTCAAGTTCAGATTGTGGAATTTACTTCAAATAAAAGATGTTTAGACTTTATACTAGAGATGAAGAACTTTAGACTCAGAGAACTACTTATGTTCCCATCCTAACACAAGTTCAGAACGTGACACAAGTTCTGAACGTAAATAACGGTTAGTGATTTGACTTGGATTTCACATATAGAATGAATTGATTGACTCAATCTTAAAGATTGTCTTGCAATGGTTTAATATGCAAAACATTTTAAATGATTGGCAAATCAATCTCGAGACAAGTTACTTTCTAAATGGAGAAGCTCTACTTATGTAAACCAAGACTTTGGTTGTATGGGCGACGATAATCAATGGAGATTCAAAATTGTCACTCAACTGCTACTCTATCTTCTTAATACAGATCTATCCAACAAATGGATTGGAAGACGATCCTACGGAGACTGTCCAACGACTAGATTGGAAGTGGATGAGTATAAAAGGAGACTAAGGTGCCGAGGAGCAGAAGCAAGAGACAAAGTCCAAAATATAGAATTCTAAACTCTAAGCGATCTTTAATCCATATACATGTCTTTCATAAGCTGTAAAGTGTAATAATTTGAGAGGTGTGAACAGTGTCATAAGTGTGTGTTTAGGTGTGAGATAGTGTGATCTATCGATTTGGGTATAAGTAGCACTATCTTTGGGAAGAAGTGCTTGGGTATAAGTGGCACAACTTGACTGTAATCTCTCATTGATTATCTATTGGAATCTAGCCAATAAGCTGTTAGTGTGGAAAAGTGGACGTAGGCTTAATCTAAGCCGAACTACTATACGTCTTGTGTGCAGATTTTCTCATCCCTTAAAACTCCTTCTATTTATTACATTCTATTGCACACTTGATAAATTGCTTCTAAAAATTGTTTAAAACCTAAACGTTGCACTCTAAGTTCAGACTCTGTTCTTGATCTTTTGAATTCCACTTTAAAATTGTCAAGAATTGTTAAAATCACCTATTCACCCTCCTCTAAGTGATTCTTGCTAGCCACCTCACCTACCACCCAAGCTGATTTATCTGTGGATTGTCAAGTAGTACTTGAATTTCATCGTCAGCTGAAAGATTTAGGTGGAAGTGGAACTGCAGTGACTGAAGATGATAGAGAGTTCACTTTCGCCCAATTCAAAAAGACGAAGCCACCTACTTACAATGAGAAATTGGATCCTCTCTTAACCAAACATTGGATTAGAATAATGGAGGGGATATTTAGAGCTGAAAGAGTTCCCAATGATCGAAAGGTTGCCTTTGCCATTCAATATTTGGAGGGTGAAGCTAAGTATTGGTAGGAAGGGATTAGACCCGTCCTAGGAGGCAGAGATGTATTAATTTCTTGGAAAGACTTTGCAAAGGCCTTCAATACTTAATTCTTCCCGAAGTCATTCCAAGCGAAGATGAGAGGCGACTTCGTACACATATCTCAGGGTGACTCTATAGTGATGGATTATGTAGGCCACTTCAACCAGTTAAGTAGGTTTGCGAAACATTTTGTGGCTAATGAGGAACTTAAAGCTTAACATTTCCAAAGAGGGTTTCGACCTAATATATGTTCTAAGCTCGCACCTGTTTAACTGACCATATATAAGGATGTCTTAGAACGAGCGATCAAGATGGAACAGTACAAATTGGAGCATGACACACAGGGTGCTCATCAGCAAAAGAGGCCCAAGTTCACCGCCACTGGAAGCACAAAAAGCTAGCTATTATCAATGAAGTAGATCAAGTCGCTGTGGCAAGAGGTTCGAGACCTAAGCCTCGGCAACCCTCCTTCCTCCACTGCCTCGATTTGCCTCTGGTGTCCCTCGAGTTCCTCTGCAACTTCATCTCTCTCAACAAGCCGTGCCTCATTTCCAAAGCTGCCATCGGTCACTGGTCGAGCTTTCTCACTATATGCCCTTGTCTAAGCTCATATGACCATGGCTTTGTTGAGCCTTGGTGGGCCCGTGAGTTGCCAGGCCCCTAATCAGGTTTAGTTGCCCTAGGCCGTTTGGAGATATGAACATGTGCGCACATTGTTACACGAGCCCATCACACGTAGAATTTTTTATTGATGGAAAATATTTTCCTTTACTAATTTATTTTCTGTGAATCGAATGCCGGTAAATCCAGATAATGTTTTTGTCATGGCCCAAAGAAATGGATCGCTCTCAAGGGTTTCTGAACAATGGACTGTGATTGATCCATGAACGAGGGTACTAAGTCCTAAGGTTTTCTTGTATGTTCTAAAATACTCCTGGGGCAGGCAAAATTGTAATTGTACCATTTTATAATAAATGGAGGTAGTTAGTAGATGGGGAGGTGCGATTTCCACCGTTAGATCGATGAGAAATTTACGGATGCGATTGAGCCTGTACTTGTATATAAATGGGTCTCTCCCCTCATTTATACATCTAATTCTCACAAGAGCAATTAGAAATCCACAGCTTCTTTCTAGAGTTTCTCTCTAAAGATCTTTGTGAGCGGAGTGAGTCGCACAGATACTCCTTTTTCTAGTTGACTAAAATCTGTAGTCGGTGAACTATACAACAAACATTTGTGACAAAAAAAATAAAACAAATATTACGTAATTGAAGGGAATAATATCTCTCTCTCTTAAAGTTTCCTGTAGTTGTTTAAGAGATCGAAAGTATAAATAAGGCCCATTCTCAAAATTTTAAGGGAAAGTTCCTTTGTCTCAAACTGATTCTTGCTATGCACCGTTTACCCTTTTCATTTCTTAAACTGAGAGAGGTTGAGAAAATTGCAATCCAACAGATCATGAATGCCTTTTTGTGTCATACGCGGAGCTGGGATATCGAACATCTGGAAGCCGTATCGTAGCAGCGCAAGACAGAGCGGGTAATCCGAGAAGAGATTGCCCGGGCTAAGGAGGAGCGGAATGCACTGATAGTCGAACTGATTATCCTAATACGATGATGATCTTACACTTTGAGTGCATATTGGATACGGCTTTGAGGATGACATCCGGAAGTTAGTTGGGAGAAGGGAGTCTTGGACATGGTATTGAGGATGATATTGAACTTCAAGATCGAGAACCAACTTTTCTTGTTTCACGGTCGTTCAATGATCAGAAAATTGAGAAGTATAGAAGGATTTCTTGAATACATGTATTGAGATGATTGGTGTTTCTTGGATTACAATGCAGTAGGCTTTAAAGCTGGCTTTCGTTTTTTAGACTATTGAAGAGATCTTATTTCTTGTTTCACACCCAGTAGAGATTACATATCCTTCAATCATCCCCAAAGAAAAGCACAAAAAATGCTTGAGTATGTCATGAAAAAGAATTGTTTCGAGACAAATTTCGAGTATGTGCAATAATCTAATTAGCGTATACTCGATTATCTAGGAAGTCCAAATACAATTTTCATGTGAGTAATGAAAAATGTCGTATGATCTAATAATTAGTTCATCGAATATGGAACTCACATAATTAATTGTCAAGACAGTATTGGTCTACAACCTCCGAAATATTTTAAATATAATTAATTGTTGTCAAGAGCTTGGCCTCAATTGATCTCGATGGACCCGCCCGGGCCTCGAGAACCGAGTCTGTTGTCAAGGGCACGGGAACAAGTTTTGGTGTTCTCATTCCCACACACAGAGTTTCTATTTTAAGAGTGATATCTAATCATATTTTGAAAAATGATTTATAATTTTTTAAAGAAAAATTATTTTATGAATTCCGTTGACTCGTTATCATACGAAAAAGTGATATCGAATGGGAGAACTTCACATTCCGAGGAAGTTCGGCTCCTTTTGGGTCTAATACTTGATTTGTGATTTCCGAGTTTACTAATCATCTAATTCACATATAATTACCTTCATTTAGACGTTATTAGTGGTTGGGAAATATTAAAAACAAAGTTGAGAGCCATATGATCATTCTAATGATAGAAGACAACTTCCCATTCCAAGGAAGTTTAGCTCCCTTGGGTCTTAGGCTTGATCTTGTGGTTTCCGAGCTTCCTAATAATTTAATTCACTTATAATTGTCTTCATTTCGAAGCTGTTAGTGCTTGAGAATGGTTGAATCAGCGTTGAGAACCATATGATCTTTCAAAGGAGAGAACTTCCCATTCCAAACAAGTTTGGCTCTTTTATGGATGAAATGCTTGATCGTGGGGTAACTGAGCAACCTAATCATTAAATTCACTTGCAATTGTCCTCATTAAGATACTATTAGTCCTTGCGAAAGAGTAGAACCAAATTTGAGAGCCACAGGATCAGTATAATGAGAGAAGAGAACTTCTCGTTCCAAGGAAGTTTGGCTCTTTTTTGGTCTAGTGCTTGATCTTGCGGTTTTCGAACTTCCTAATTACCTAATTCACTCATCATTGTCTTCATTTTGAAGCTATTAGTGCTCAGGACGGATTAGAACCAAAGTTGAGAGCTATAGGATCATTCAAATGAGAGAACTTCCCATTGCAAGAAAGTTTGGCACATTTTTGGTCTAACGCTTGATCTTGTGGTTTCGAAGCTTCCTAATCTTCTAATTCACTTACAATTGTATTCATTTAAAAGCTATTAGTGCTTGATAAATATTAAAACCAAAGTTGAAAGCCGTAAGATCGTTCGAATGAGAGAACTTCCCATTCGAAGGAAGTTCGGCTCCCTTTGGGTCTAAGCAAACCAAATGCCGAAAAATGAGAAATATTTCCGTGAAACAAACGGAACCTAAGTAAAAGATGAACATTACTTTATGTGAATTTAGGTGCAGGGCACACACTGCTCCTGTGCATCTCTCCCTTTGTTTACTAGATGGATCTTTACTTTGAAAAAAAATAAAAATAAACTAGGTTCCAATTATAATTAATGATTATGCTTATATTTTTCTTGTGAATTTCAGTCGTTCGTAAATTTGGGCATTCTAATCCCAATTTAACCTAAGTTGTTTTTACTCAAACGCACCTAATCATCTATTGAGTAGTGTGTACTAAAAGTAGCAAGAGGATGAGATTTTATTTGAGGATGAAATAAAAACTAACTCGAAACGATATATTTCGCTTTTCTAGTTATGATGCTAGAGATGCTTTTCAAGTAGTATTTTTTTTTTTTGTAAAAAAAGGTTCTTTTTCGATATTATGAAGGATAACTTCACCAAATATATGGGTTTCGATAGTTTTAAAATATATATATATATATATATATATATATATATATATATATTTCATATGTATGACACCCATAAAAAGTATGAGTATTTTAGACAAAGAAGTCATCACAAGAGCGTGATGATACGATATTTTCAACTTTTCACTAAAATAGTAAAGAAGAGCTTAAGATTTCAAATTTTAAATTTTTTCTCCAAAAAAAAGGAAGAGAAAATCTATTTATCAAATAAATTTGAATTGTTAAACTCCTCCGTTGCGCGAATTAAAGTTTGCCAACCAAATTTTAATGTTATGATTGGATAGTCCATGATGTTTGAATTTTGTAATGACCCATGACATTTTGTAAAGTGTTGTGCGGCGTTGATCAAATTTTGCTTTGACCTCTAAGCGTGATTTGCTTTTTGTTATATTGGTTTAAGCACTTGACTGCAGCAATGGAGGGTTAATTTGCGCAAAAGTGAGTACCTACAAAAAAAAAATGAAATTAATGATAATACTGCGAAAATCCCCAAACTGGTATGCCTGTGATAATTTTACCCCGATCTAATTTTTTTACTACCAAAAACTCCAAACTGGTACACATGTGACAAATTTACCCTCAATTTATTTTCATTAAATTTTATTGTCAAATTGCTTTGTTAAATGACATGCGACAATTGACGGGTGTACTAATTTTATGTTTTATCCTCCGTTTGTCACAGGCGTACCGGTTTATGATTTTTTTTGTGGTATTAATTCAATTTAATGGAAATTAACAGAGGATAAATTTATCACAAATGTACCAGTTCGAGATTTTTGGTGGTCAAAAAATTAGTTTGGGGTAAATTTGTCACAGATGTATCAATTTGGGGTTTTTCGTGATTAAAAAATTAATTTGGGGTAAAATTGTCACGGATATACCAGTTTGAGATTTTTCGTCGTATTAACCCATAATTTTAAACAAAGTATAACTAAAAAGTAGACAATATTGATTAGTAAACCAAAAAGAAAAAAAAGGCTAGAGATGGAGAGGAGGCCGACTCGGCTGCGGCTGGCAGTGGAGCCACCATTGCCGTGGCCATTGTCGAGGTCACGAGTGGTGGTTGCGCCACCCCGCCACCCTCAAGGCGTGCTCACCGATCGGAGAAGAATTTGATCGGACTCGATGACAAAAGGAGCAAATTGCAAAGTATTTGGAAATATCGAGGGGGAAAATTAAGATTATTCAAATCTCTGGGCCAAATTTGTCAGAACCTGTAAAACGGGGGGCAAAAAGGGATGTTCCGACCGTGCTGGCGACTCGCAAGCCACCGCCGTATCCCGGGGGAGCAAAGATCGCGAGGTGGGCGTTCGCTGCACCGTCATCAGCGGCGGCGACAGGGCGGCGGCGGCGGCGGCGGCGGCGGAGAGCGGCCACTGGAAGCACAAGAGCTAGCTACTAAGCTCGATGAAGCAGATCGAGTTGCTGTGGCAAGAGGTTCGAGACCTGAGCCTCGGCAACGCCTCCTCCGTCCGCCGCCTCGACTCGCCCCCGGCGCCGCTCGAGTTCCTCCGCGACTTCGTCTCTCCCAACAAGCCCTGCCTCGTCTCCGGAGCCGCCACCGCTCACTGGCCGGCCACCGCCCTCTGGCGCGACCGCGCGCACCTCGCTCGCGCCCTCGCTTCCTCCTCCGTCACCGTCCACCTCACCCCCGACGGGCGCGCCGATTCGCTCGTTCCGATCGACGACTCCTCCGCCTCGCCCTCGCCCTCGCCGCCGCCGCCGCCTCTCTGCTTCGCCTCTGCGCACGCGGAGCGCGTGCCGTTCGCCGAGGCGCTGGACATGATCTCGAGGAGCAGCCGGGAGAGCAGTTTCGTCGCGTACGCGCAGCAGCAGAACGATTGCTTCCGATCGGAGTACGGTCCCCTGGCGCGCGATTGCGATGAGCATGTCCCGTGGGCGAGCAAAGCCCTGGGTTCGTTGCCGGAGGCCGTGAACCTGTGGATTGGGAATCACTTCTCGGAGACTTCTTTCCACAAGGATCACTACGAGAATCTCTACGCCGTTGTCACCGGCGAGAAGCATTTCGTGCTCCTTCCTCCGACGGATGTTCATCGTATGTATATTAAAGATTACCCCGCGGCGCAGTACTCGTACATTAAGGTTGGTTTCGGCATTGTGATTGGTGGTAGTTTTGTTGCTTTGGGGTGATTTTTGAAACACCTTTTGGATTGGTGGGATTTGCAGGAAACTGGGGAATTCAAGCTGGAAGTGGAAGAACCAATCAAGTATGTACCTTGGTGCAGTGTCAATCCTTATCCTTCCCCAGAGAACTTGGAGAGCGAGATGGCGAAGTTTCCACTGTATTTCAATGGTCCCAAGCCGATCGAGTGTACGGTCAAAGCCGGGGAGATCCTTTACTTGTAAGTGTTGTAGCTGATTTGAATTCACTGTTTTCGGTAGGATGGTGAGAATTTTTTGTGCTTGGAGGAAAGAATGGGAGGCATTGGCACGTCGTATTTGAGCATGATCAGTTATAATTCTAGATGATTGAGGTTATAATGATAGAATCCGTCAGATAAGGTTGATTCATTGTGGCGATCAAGTTTGGTAATTTTAGCATTTTAGCTTAAATAGAGACATGCTCGATCACCTCAGAGCGTGTTTATGGACAGAAATTGTTATCAATTAGGAATCAATCATGGTGGAGATGTGGGCCTGCTGGTCATTCCTACTTCTAATGAAAGATAGCAGATGAACGGCGAAACTTCGAGGCTGCAGAGTTGATTTATAATCTGGATCATGCTATCAGATAGAGGTGTCACAAAGTTATCATACAGGAGATCCTGATACAAAGTGTCTAGATAGTTTTTTCTTTAGATAAGTTATGTTTCTAACTGAGGGGAGGAACACTGCACGGGAGCATTCTTCTTCTTCGGGTGTATTCATTGAGGCCTCTTTGTTTGGGATTAATTAAAAGCAAAAAGTACTTTTTACTTTCCCGCCAAAACTAAAAAAATTATACATCAATCTATATTCCAACATTTATATCTCATGAAAGTTTCAGCGGTATTTGTTTGAAAATAGTGAAAGTTCATGAACCGATAAATTTAGATTAAGCAAAAAAGAAAAAGTTAAAGTTAAACCGGACACAAATTGAGAAATTCCATCGGATGTACTTCTGAGACATAGATAGTTGTTCAATTGATACTTAGATAGCGAAAGTCGTCTTGGTGTATGGGATCAGCTTTTCTGGTTATCTATATGGATCTAGATATAATGCACCAGCTTCAATTTTCTTTCCCTTTCTGAAAGTCTCAAGTGGGTGTTGCAAGTTTGTGGGAAACAGGTGTTTAGACATTCACGTTCATGATATTATACCCAGATCAATGGTTTTCCTGTGGTTGAGTGTAGTGCTGACTGGTGTGGCCTATCTAATACTCACGTGACTCTGTTGCAGACCAAGTATGTGGTTTCATCACGTTAAACAGATTCCAGATGACACAGGACTCACCATTGCTGTTAATTATTGTAAGGATGCAGTATTTTATCGTTTTTCAATTAACTTCATAGTGGTTATTGTAAAAGAACAACAACCTTCATGATGATCTTCAGGTGCTAAAATAACAAGTGAATTTTTCAGGGTATGATATGCAGTTTGATATGAAATATGCATATTTCAACTTCTTGCAATCAATCGAATACCAACCAATACATGACTACACGGGGACTGAAGGAGAGTCTGAAGATTTATAATCAATCTGCATGCTGTCGTAAATCAGTGTCTCAATGAGCTGTAGCCCATAAATTCATCTCTGAACTTCTTATTGTTTTTCTCTGGTTATGGATGGAATCTTTATCTGAAGCTTGGCTTGAGATGGTTATGAACAAGGAGACAGTTTAAACTCAATATCTGGGAAAAGGTCCCTGACTGTCAGCAAGTTTGAGTAATGCTTGGGGAACAGGATCTCAGAATAGCCTTGCTGGTGCATTTACTCATTCACCAGATTGGGTCAAATGTGAGATTTAAATGCCAATCCATTCCGCTTGGATGGACTACTTCTGTCTTGTTTTACTTTAAAAACAAGGAAATATAATTTCAATTTTTGATAATTTGAAGCTACCGAGCAGTTTACCTGGCCATTTTTTGAAAGATGTTTGTGTTTGCAGGTTTTTCTGTCAGGGCATCTTGAAACTGCTTATAATTGAATGATCTCCATTGAAGTTTTCAAAGAAATCTGAAGCTACCAAGCTGTTTATCAGTTTTGTTACAGTCTATATCAAGAGGACATCATTGCAGAATGACCTCCATTGAATTTCTTGAGGTGTTTGCACAGGATTACTGGTCCAAAAAGCAACAGATGGTCCAAGGCGTATAATAGAATGATTTGTGGTTCCATAAGTACGGTGCCAGTTGCTTTATGGTTTAGTAATAACTCAGTTTATTGGGTGAGTCAGGTTCTACTTGCTTCTTCACCTCAGTAATTTAGGTCTTAAGCTAGTCTTACAGATATTATGAGCTATACGTCTAGTTAATCATCCAAAAAGAAGTCATCCTGTGCTGCGAGGTTCTAGGAGACATATGTTTGGGGAGTTTCCAAGCCATAACTTTCTTGTAGTTCAATGCTAGGTGAGTAGTATCATAGCCCCAGGGGAGAAATGAAGAGAGGGCATTCTTTTTCCTTCTCTCTTTTTTTATCTTTTTCTGGGATTGCGTTAGTTCAAGTCTCTTTCTATTTTTGCCAAATAATCTCCGAGTCGGTTCAATGCCACTCCCCAGAGCCATGGATTATTTTGCTCGTTCAGTTATCTTGGATTCTACGCGAATTAGTCATCCTGAATCAGTTCTCGCTTGTGAAGTCTACTACCAGTCTCCTTGATGCTGTGCTTTATCCTGTCTAACCAAGTCCTTTTTTTCTGATATGTTCTTTCTTTTTCGATGAGGCCCAAGTCCTTATTCTGTTTTTGTCTGAATCCGCTTTCTTCTCTGTTCTCGTGTGTGTTCATTCTGTCGTGCCTTTTCCTCCTTGATGTCTGGTTCTCACACGAATAAGAGGCATTCCCGTCTTCTATCTATCAGTAATGCTAGCAAAAGAAAGTTCTCAACAATTTCAATGACCATCTTATGATAGCTCGCAGTGCTAAGTTTCCAAATTGAACTTCCAAGGGCCAGAAGTGGATACATGATCAATAATTTACAGGAATTAGAGGCCCTAATATGCCTTTGACAGGCCGAGTACATGACTCTTTAAGCAGACATTTCAACCCACAAAGTTCCGTAAAGTCATGTTTTGCCAACCATTAAGGTAGTTACAGTCGATGAATCAAGTCTCGTGGACTCGCACCGCATCAGGACTGCAACTGTCCCCAGTTTCCTCTCACCTGCCCCATCACATGACGAAGTGGTGATTGAATGCGAGCTTCCTGTGCCGCATATTAGGTTAATTTCTGGTATATCGGAAGTGAACGGAGGCCATGGTTCTGTGCTGTTGTCAATTCTTGTTTGCTCATGCACTGTCTGAATCTCCATCTTGTTGCATAAAACTGGTCCCCGAAACTCCTAAGATTTTTTACCCCCACCTTCTCTTGAAGTCAAGGTTTCGGACCTCAGATATCTCTCTCCTACCGCAACAGATGTCCATGAAAAATACCTGAGGCAAGTCTCGTGACAGCTCGTCCAAGATTTTTCTGAGCATTCAAATGCCGTGACTTTACTCCATCATCTATGCATGGACGAGTGTAAGGTATTGCCAATGTTTTGTCACATTGCATCAGGGTTTCCCTCTTGTGGTCCACCGCATCATGTCAGAGAGATGTTGCCCCTCAAATTAGACTTAAAATCGGAGTCCTACTCACATCCCCGTGGATGTGTCCCCCTCAAATAAGGAACGGAGGAAGATGATTCATCATTTGTACGGTGGTTTCTTCTTTGTTTTTTGAGGGAATAATGACATAAACAGTCCTTAAACTTTGACTCAATGTGCAATTTGATCCATAAATTTTTAATTTGTTCAATGTAGTCCCTGAACTTTAAGCGAATGTTCAATGTGGTTCCTAAACTTTTAATTTATTCAATGTCATCCATGAACTTTTGGTACATGTTCAATTCAGTCTCTGAACTATATGAAAATGTTCAATGCAATCCTTTCCATTTATTCTAGTTCAGGGACTACATTGAATATTTTCATATAGTTCAGGGACTGAATTGAACATATACCAAAAGTTCAGGGATGATATTGAACAAATTAAAAGTTCGGTGACCACATTGCATATTGGGTTAAAGTTCAGGGACTATATTAAACAAATTAAAAGTTCAGGGATCAAATTGCATATTGGGCCAAAGTTCAGGGACTGTTTGTGTCATTTTCCCTTTTTTGAGCTACTTGGGACCAATCCTTTCATGCGAGACTCGCCATAGAGACAACAATGCTACGATTATTGAAGGCCAAGATTTTTTTTGATGATCTCACTGCATCTATTGATGTTGAGTCATGCTAGAAATGCCTGGTTGCAGTTGCTCAGGACCCCATGAAATTGATCATGGAGTGCTCATTATTCCCATTCCTTTAGCTTGAATTTTCCGGTTTTGTTCTAGTGTTTTTCCCTCACGTTATCCCCAATTAGTGAACAGAAGACTTCGACTCCGACTGAGCCCCACCCCCGCACCTCCTCGACGTTTACACGTGCGGGTGTGTATGCATGACCGTATGTCCATATATGCATTAGAACCAAGCGGAAAAGATAATTCGATTTGCCTATGAATCTTTCGTTTATCTTACAATACTTCAATCCTGTTTTCAAGTTTTTTCTTCGGAAAGCAATGCGAAAGGTTGGTATGTAAAGAAGGGCAGAAACCACTGGACCTGGAGAGGGCGGGCTCACCCTCGACGCCCGGTGAGGCTGCCCTAGCTTGGGCGAGGGTCGGCCTCACCAAACTTGAAAAGGGCGGCTTTGTTGGTGCTCGCCCTCGCCCAAGTGAGGCTGATTCTCGTTTGTGGCAGCGCGGGCGACCCTCGCTCAGGCTAGGCCAATCCCTCGTCGAACACTGGCACAGGCCATGGAAGAAAAGAAAAGAAATAAAAATTATAAGATTTTTCAAATTTAAGGTTCAATCTTTCTTATGATACACCATTTTAATTATTTATCTCTGCCCCAAATCTTCATTTATTAAATTAATTTCCTCAAATGTTATCTTTATTCGCTTTACTTTCTCTTTTGCAAGTGGAAAATGAACCGATGCACATGCATGTATTGGACATATGTCAATTTAGTTCAAATATTTTGCCTGAAATTTCAATGCAATCATTTCAATCAATTTTCGCCGAAAATTGCTGACATGGTGATATGCCACGTAAGATGGCCAGTGATAACTGGACTGTCATGTGAACAATTTCTTATGAGAATTGACTAGAATGACTATATTGAAATTTTGCGCAAAATGTTTATAACTAAATTGACAAAATTGAAAATTTTAGAATTGAATTGATATATGTATAACAGGCTAAGACTGATTGGATAATTTTCCCCAAAAATCAGTGTGTCCCCAAAATCTTGCTGATTTAGCTTTATTTTGAATTACTAGCCCATAATAAATATATATTTATAGATCTTCGGGACCATCTAATTAGCTTTCGACACAACTCGTCGGGATTATCTCCGCCTAGGAATTTCTTAGATTTTCGAAAAAAGAAAAGGGAAATGTATCCAAATTGATAAAAGAAAATTTGTGAGGTACGTTAAGAATCTGCCAACCTGGAATCAAGCGGGAGAAGAAAAGAATCTAATCGACCAAGTTCTTGAATGGATTGGACAGACACCAATCACCAAAGTCTTGAATTGGATCGAATGGAGTTAGAATCTAGTTTTTGTACCTGTCCTGCTTCTGGATAAGATGGCCGGTTGTGGCTGCAAACCCATTGAGCCTACGGTCAATTTCCTTGTGGGTTATTATAACAGCGAAAGGTTCATCACAAGGTACAAAGAAAAGCATGATCACTTTTGTTGTGCACGGCCTCGAACATATCTGTGTGCGTGTGAATGATCTGTAAAAAAATCTGCAAAAGAAAAAATTATATGTGGATAGAATGAATGCACTCGCAAAGATTATTCCATCTTAAATATTTTATGTGACGGGTATAGCAAGTGGCAGTGAATACACGGTGCAAGATTGATCAATTACCGTTGTCTGCAATCGTAAATCACATCCTACGCCATGCGCATATGCATCACAATTTTGACTGGCCGATCATACCGCGTGTTGATGAGTGGTGCTTCTGCTGCACTATATACCTTCTCCTATGATCGGGGCGTCTAGTTTAAATGCAGAGATTTCGTCGACCATTTTTCCGTCATAGGACTCAAATGGGCACATGTAAGATCTTAAACGTTTCGACAAATCATTTCTACTAAAAATTTAAGCTGTCAGGCAGACCTATCACGTTCATAGATAGCGTGTCTCTCCCACCTAAGATGGTCCTTCGACACGCAACACAAGATGTCGACCTAACTATACCGAACAAATGGTCGGAGGTAGGACATTAGACGAAATAGCGGGAATACCATGCTTAATAAAAATGAGAGTGCAAAATGTGAACTTGTAATGTTTGCTATAATACTAAGTTAAGCAATTAATGTGTTGTTTTAATTTTAAAGTGCTTGAAAATGGGTCATAATATATACACACACAATCTATTACTAAACATTAATAATGCTTGTCTTAAACTTTTGTTGTTTTGGCTGACATTGGACTCAGCAAAATTTGACGAGACATTGTTTGCACCAAAATTTAACCAGGCCATCGACACGAGTAAACACGTGGCTAAAAGATGAATGGTTATCGATACTATATATGCGAGCCATTGTTGACGATCGAAAGACTAATCGATATTAATAAACATCGATGATCATAAATTGGCTGTTGACATACGACGGCATATGGTTGACGATTGTCATAGCAAGACTAATCAGTAAGGATACAGATTAAAAAGGAACGATAAGTTACTTATTGAAATACCAAACGAACATCTTCAATTTCGTTTGGAGTAAAGTTATTGATTCCCTTCTCTATTCATGATATTTTCCATCTGGAATTGCCACGAAACCTATCTCGTCCATCAAAAATAAAAAAAAAATGACTTTCGATGAAAGATAGTTTATAGCAGAGTCAAATTCCGGCGAAACAGAGACACATGCTAGGGGGTGGTCCTGGAGAGCATTTATGTCCCCGTGAAGATATCATCCTTTCCAATTGGCATCTGCACCACAGAACTCACCATCGTCCTTTTCCAGAAGCTTGATATCCCCCACACAAACGCAGGCAAATTCACGCGATGGATCAGAAGAATGTGTCGCATCAGTCATGGCCTACCAGCGCTCCATCCTTTTAATTGGGAGTGAGATATTTTGCTCTTCGGATGCGTGCGGCAACGTGCATTTCAATTAGAAGCACACATCCAAGATATTTCACTTGTAGTTGATGCCATTCAGTTTGGCAAAGCTATTTATGGAAATTGCAAATAGCTTAGTCGTAAAATTTCTCAAAGGAGGAGAGAGATCTTCTGGGAAGCGATTTCGTCTCGATATTATCGTCTGTTTTGCACTTCAGACGGTTGTCGTTATGGGTAAAGACGCTCGAATGGAAACCGTGTTGCTTATGTGATATATATGGTCAACATATCTAATGAAGGCTCCGATGGATTTTCGCATTGCTTGCACAAGCCTGTGCATAGGGAAAAAAACCAAAAAAATCTAAAACTTATTACAATTTTACCAATTCAATCCTAATTTTTTTTTTGGCCAATTAAATTCTAAGCCGTTTGCATTTGTGCCAATTCAGTCAATCTAGTCAATTTTAGCTGGAAATCGCTGACGTAGCATCGCCGGTGCTAACATGAATGATTATTATAATTATTTAAAAAATCATGAATTATTTATTTATTTTTTCTGTTTTTACATTGCGGGCGGCGAGATTGTGCCTCGCCCGACCACCCTTGGCAGCCCTAGCCCAGCGAGGTTGAAGACCATGACGGTTAGATCTCACGGCCTCTGGCGAGGTCTGCCACAGTGAGGTGGGCGAGGTCGAGCCTCGGCAAAGGCCACGATGGTCAGCCGTCGCGGCCTTTGCCTCGCAGCCTTTGACCTCCCAGCCTCTAGCGAGGGCCGACCTTGCCGATGTCGGGCGAGGCATGACCTTGTTGGATCATGCGAGGTCGGGCCTTGCCCATGGTTGGCGAGGCTCGACCCTTACCAATCCAACCGACAGTGAGGTCGAGCCTTACTCGATTGGCAAGGGTTGCCGGCCACAATGAAAAAATAGAAAAAAGGGAAAAAAGAAAGAGAAAATAAAAAAAAATTATAAAAATTGTCCACGTTAGCAAGGTTGAGCCTCACTCGATCGGCGACCTTGCTGGCCATAATGAAAAACCATAAAAAAAAGGAAAAAAAGAGAAAAAAATATAATAAAAAATTATATAAATTTGTTTACGTCAGCGTTGACGATGTCGCGTTAGTGATTTTCAGCTAAAATTGATCAGATGGACTGAATTAGCACAAATGCAAAAAAAAAGGTTTAGGACTCAATTGGTAACAAAAAAAAAGTTTAGGACTGAATTGACACATTTCCAATATATTTAAACTTTTTTTGATAATTTCCCCCCTATACATCATGGGTGAAGTAATTACAAACTGAGATCTTTAGTATATATATATGGTCCGTTATTCACAACGCGTTCCATCTCAGTTGGTTTGGGAAATTGTTTTACCAAGTGATAAACCGAGGAAATTTAAGCCTAGACAAAGTGGGGATTGGTCGTGGTCCGCTGGGGGACCTTTCCTCCATCATGCCTCATCGTAATAAAGATTCAGTTTTATCTAAACTTCCACAAAATATCAAGACCCACAAACACTTGGAAAATCAACAGTCATTTGTATTTTTCTGTAATCACGGGCATCGGGATACCCAACCCGACCGGACCCATTGACACCTTGACGGATAATAGTAATGCAAAATACATAATGGACATACCAAGTAGATATATTTTTTTCTGTTCTTTTTGGTTTGTCGCTCGGCGAAAGACCATTAATTTCTCTCCTTTCAGAGGGAAGTTTTTCTTGCGTTCGGAATGTGTTCCCGGATTGTGCACAGTGCAACCAAACTTGCCCGTTTACGCAAGAAAGGACGCCGTTTGCGCACCGACGAAACATCTTTCTTCGCTTTCCTGGTGTTTTCCTTGCATTCCCGTCTCGCGAAAGAAAAACACCGAAACAGCGTTAACGTCTCCGAAGGAACAATCAATGTGTGTGGAGAGACCTGTTCTGAAAAGATAGAAAGATTCGGCAGCTGATGTTAGAGAAGGCCTCACAGTTGAGGACCCCGGAATGATCAGTGTCTCCACCGAATGAACAAAGGGAAACTTGCAATTATGCAGGCTCAAAGATGGAAACGCTGCGCAGCCTGGTTTGGCACGACGCCATACATCACCACCCGTTTGATCCTGAAGCTTGGGAGGTAAGATGCATGGCCGAAAGAGGAGCCAGGGAAGGGAAGCGAAGGGAAGGATGGCGACAGACTAACCAACCCTGAAGAGACGCTAAGCCTCTCTTTAAAGGTAAAGTACAAGCTCTGTCGCGTAAGCGTTTGGTTTCAGTCAGTTCCTTTTGAGGCAAAGGTCCTGTCAGGCACGAAAACTAGGTCAGGAAATGACTGAAAGGTCTTCTAGCTTATTTGATTTTCTGAGATAATAACACTGTACCTTGATTACTGAGATCCACCTAAAAAGTGGGTCTATGCCCCGAACGAGACTATCAGCAAATGCAGGTATTCGATCCCCTTACGTGGCCTCTCTTAGGCCTTATCTTCTGAGGACCGACTTTTAGTATTAAGCTTAATCCATATTCTGAGCATAAGGCTATTTGGCCTCAGAATTCCAATGCATAAGATCCTTGTGGAGGCGAGTGCAAGATATACTATTAGGATAAGACACTATCTTTATAAAGGTCTCAAATCGAAGAATCGGAGGACGGGGATTGTGGAAGGGTTGTTATATTTTAGTTGGCTCATGACTCATTGATTTAAGATTTTTTAATGAAGATAGGTCCGATTGGATATGTTAACAGGATTGGAGGAAAGTATTGGATTTCACTTACCATCTTCCCATTAAAGTTGAGATTTCAATGAGCTTGTTTCTATAGGTTTCGGTGCCACAAGATTCAACTTCTGCATAAAGTATAATCTCCTCTTATATTGTTGAATTCCAAATGTTAATCCATTTTGTGGACAGAAACCTTGTCTTACCTATTGAAATATCACACATTGCTTGATTATGTGTGTGGTCCCTCTCTACTTATTGGCTTTAAGCTTTATTAGAGTCACATTTTATTCCACCTATTAACATTGTGGTGTGTTTGTTTGAGTGAAAGAATGTAATTATTTTTCTAGACTTTAACGCATTTTTTTTTTCTGAAAATGATCGGTCAACGAAAAACCATTCACGGTAAAAAAAAAATGCATATTTAAAGTTAGAAAAATGAAGTGCCTAATCTGAAAAGAGGAAAACATTTTTCTTGAAAAACGAATTTCATGGAGAGCATTCTCATTTATCATGAAATCTTCCTCGTGACAGACACACCCTTGATATTATACCGCACCAGTTTTCGATCCCATGCTTCGCACGAGACGCTGCATGAAGTAGCCCATTGAAAGTCTCCATAGTTAGAAGTCCATGACTGTATATTTGGGTAATACTTGTGATTATGAATTTAGTTACACCTCACATTGGTGCATTCATATCAATTTACATCTACCTTAAATATAAGGTTTAATATCATGAAAAATCTCAAAACTAATAAACCTGTAATAAATTTATTTCGAATTAATTTTTTGACCACTAAAAATTCAAAACTAATATATATGTGATAAATTTATCCTAAAATAATTTTTTGACCACCAAAAATCCAAAACTGGTATACTTGTGACAAATTTACCCTCCATAAAATTAGATTAATACAACGAAAAATCACAAATTAATAAACATGCGACAAACGGAGGGGTAAAACCCTAAACTTGTCCACCCATAAACTGTTACGTGTCATCTAACTCAGTAATTTGACGGAAACATTTAACGGGAACTGACGGAGGGTAAATTTGACACATGTATATCAATTTGTGATTTTTCGTGATCTTCCCTCGTATATGTTTATAATTCGAACCCCGCACAAATATATTTTTTATTTTTCTATTTTTGAAGGCTAAACGAATCTCTTTCGAAATGAGACATTTGGGCCCATAAATACTCTCTCTCTCCTCTCGCTCGATCCCACAGGCAGCTGGAGGAGGACGGCGGCGATAACAATCATGGAAGCCTTGTCTTCCTCCTTCCTCTCCTCCTTCTCCTCCAAAACACTCCTCAAATCCGCCGTTAATCCTCCTCCTCCGCCGCCGCCTTCCTTTTCTCCTCCTGTTCCCTCCATCACCTCCGTCCGCACCGATGAAAGACCCCCCAAAACCACCACCACCACCACGACAAGATCTCCTCCGCCGCCGCCTCGACAAACACCGCCGGCGCCGGCCTCATCACTCCCCAGAACTGCCGCCACTCCACTACCGCCGCCGCCACCCGCCAGAGCCAGAAGAGACACGTCGCTCCCCGTGACCATCTTCAACGCCCTGGACGACCTCATCAACAGCTTCATCGACCCGCCGGTCAAGCCCTCCGTCGACCCCCGCCACGTCCTGTCCGACAACTTCGCCCCCGTGCTCGACGAGCTCCCCCCTACCGATTGCCTCGTTGAGTCCGGCAGCCTCCCCGCCTGCCTCGACGGCGCCTACCTCCGCAACGGCCCCAACCCTCAGTTCCTCCCCCGTGGCCCCTACCACCTCTTCGACGGCGACGGCATGCTCCACTCCATCAAAATCTCCCGCGGCCGTGCCCGCCTCTGCAGCCGTTACGTCCGCACCAACAAGTTCTCTGTCGAGCGCAGCCTCGGAATGCCGGTCGTCCCCAACGTCTTCTCCGGGTTCAACGGCCTCGCCGCCTCTGCAGCCCGTGGCGCGCTCACGGCGGCACGCATGGCGGCCGGCCAGTTCAACCCGGCCAACGGCATTGGCCTCGCCAACACGAGCCTGGCCTTCTTCGGGAACCGGCTCTATGCCCTCGGCGAGTCAGACCTTCCCTATGAGGTCCGGGTCACGTCGGATGGCGACGTCGAGACTGTCGGGAGGGAGGATTTCGACGGCAAGCTGTTCATGAGCATGACGGCTCACCCCAAGATGGACCCCGAGACCGGCGAGGCTTTCGCGTTCCGGTACGGGCCGGTCCCGCCATTTCTGACCTACTTCCGGTTCAACAAGGATGGGCAGAAGCAACCGGACGTGCCCATTTTCTCGATGGTCCGGCCCTCGTTTCTTCACGACTTCGCCATCACAAAAAAATACGCGATCTTCTCGGACATACAAATCGGGATGAACCCGATGGACATGATATTCGGAGGCGGATCACCAGTCGGCACGGACCCAGGCAAGGTGCCCCGGCTCGGGATCATCCCTCGGTACGCGAAGGACGAGTCGGAGATGCGGTGGTTCGACGTCCCGGGGTTCAACATCATCCACGCGATCAACGCGTGGGACGAGGAGGACGGCGACGAGGTGGTGCTGATCGCGCCGAACATCATGTCCGTCGAGCACACGCTCGAGCGGATGGACCTCATCCACGCGCTGGTCGAGAAAGTACGCATCAACCTGAGGACCGGGATCGTGTCGAGGCAGCCCCTCTCGGCCAGGAACCTCGACTTCGCGGTGATAAACCCTGGCTACATGGCGAGGAGGAACAAGTACGTGTACGCGGCCATCGGGGACCCGATGCCGAAGGTGTCCGGCGTGGTGAAGCTGGACGTGTCGAGGCCGGACCGCCAGGACTGCACGGCGGCGTGCCGGATGTTCGGGCCGGGGTGCTACGGGGGCGAGCCGTTCTTCGTGGCGAGGGAGCCGGACAACCCAGCGGCCGAGGAGGACGACGGTTACGTGGTGAGTTACGTGCACGACGAGCGCGGAGGGGAGTCGAGGTTCCTGGTGATGGATGCCAAGTCGCCGGAGCTGGAGATCGTGGCCTCCGTCCGGCTACCCAGGAGGGTGCCGTACGGGTTTCATGGGCTTTTCGTGAGGGAGAGCCACCTCAACATAGCATAGTGTTCATAGAATGAGGTGATGAAGTGACACGTGAAGCCCGGTGAAGGTACACAGATTGGGTTTTATTATAGGATTTTACATAGTCTACAACAAAAATGAAACATGATATACACCAGCGCCAGTTACAGGAAAATGGAAAATTTTATAGACAGGCTATATGTCACGGCTAAATTACGTGAGATTTACGTGAAATTCACTATTTTTAGTTACGTTGTACTAATTCGATATATTTTATAATACACTCGTGATGTACTTTTTTCAGGAATAGAGGATATAATCTGTCTCATGTAATGATTTCTTCGAGAACCCCACAAATTTCGTTCGGACTATAGTCGACGGGGGTAGGGAGTGATATCTTCCTTAGCTTGCCAATGACCTTCCGAGGCTATTTCGTGTGTTGCCGCAGCACTTTTATCTTGACCGTGGCTCGTCGTCGCTGTCTAGACTTAATTCACTGGATCAAGCCAATCACATAAAAATCGGTAAAGCCGGTATCGGTCGTTGCCAAGATATGAAATTCCACGCAGTTCCTCGCATCACGCAAAGCTATTTAATAAGTCTATCCAATTCTTTCTGATGCTTCGTCCACAAAAGGTTGAGTAAAGCACCGTGCAATGACAAATCACCGAAAGGGAAAAGGGGAGCAAGGAAAAGAACAGAAAAGCAAAAGGGAATAAAGTTGGGCACAAGCCTCACGGTGATAAGACAGTTCATTCCCATAAGGAACAAGCTTCTAATTCATACATGCTTTTAATTTTGTGTTGGGTGGTTTTGGGCGCTCAAACAGTGAGGCCTTCCCGATAATCTTCTCCTCACACATCGGGTTTAGGTCGGAATATCAACAACCCTCTCCGACTGATTATTGAATTTAGATTTGTTGGTAACCTAAGCTCTCATATGAGTATTGGGTGATTTTTGACCTTTATTGTCTAAAAAAAACTAGCTCAAAATGTGAGATTTTCTCCGCATATTTATAAACTATCAACCTGCCCCTTCCGCAACGATATGAGATAACCCAACACTTTTATGATGTTACCTATGACAAATGACGTTTTGGGACGACAGCGTATGACCCAACCACCGTCATGGGTTTAGGAGTCTGTTCCTAGGGTCAAAAGCTATTTAGGCAGAACTGATGTTCGGACGTGAAATCGCCTCTTCATTCCGTACCTGAGGTTCGGTTATGATCCCTCGGGAGACCAATCTGTAGCGGTGCGTTGGAGTTAAAAGTTTTTTTTTCACCGTGTCTCTCAAACAAGTGTCAGAACACACAATGACTGCGGAATTCTTAGTGTTTGCTTGCTATTACATTTTACGTAGGAGGTGCAGCAAAAACAAATTTCAGTTATGATGAGGTGCGGCGGGAGATTGGTCTCCCAACGATTTGGATTAGGAAGGTACCTTCGGTTCAATTGTTAAGGAAGGAATCCTAAGTCGTCCTTAATAAAGTTTAAGGAATTTCAATGCAGAGGAAAGTCTTGCGTGGTCCGGACAACATCATTAGGAGTCCACGTGGGATCCAATATCGTCGATAATTTCGAGTGACGTTACTTATGGAATCAGTAATTGAGTGATAGACATAAGTTTCGGCGTGTCCAATAGGCCTGATGAAGAATTTATTGGATAAGCCAACACCATTCAATTCTGCAGGCTATCGACAGATGTATGAACCGTGGATGGAACATGTGGGCCTCATGTGAGGTCCGGATAAGTTGATCGCGAGATATTCTATTCCAGGAGAAGGCATACCACTAGGACAAACACTTCGGTCACATACCAATAAAGGGTTTTGTTAGCAAAACAGTTTTGGAGCTATTGGGAGAGTAACAACATATTATGAATAACAAATTATTGAAAGAGTATACCCCACAATAGTTTAAAATTATTTGTTTTGTCACCCAGAACAAGCTATTAATAATCTCAATGTGAATTAAGAACAGTCACTTAATCATTTCTCATCAATAAATATCGTGTGTTTAGTGAGATTTTTAGATTTTTAAGAGTACTTACGTTGCCCAAGATTGGCTCGGGAAGGAAGACCAGCCACTGTAGCAAAAGAATCCAATTTCCCCTATAAGACCCAAACAAGCGAAAATCATATGGATCAACCCAATCACATTTTGAGAATCGGTGAAACGCACGCACGGTCACAGTAAAAAGCACAAGTGCCCGTATAATTCCTGCTTCGTGATTGGCTCTATCCACTACGATCAAGTCCATACAAATTTTTCTCGACTCAAAAATCGTTTTTTCCATGAATAACTAGCAGTTCCTTAGGGTCGAATCATTCAATGAGATCCGTTTCTTCTACCATGATCTCTTCTTGTAAAAATCTCTTAATTCGAAACCCTAAGGAGCGGAGAAATCATCTTAGTTTGAAGCAAAAGCTCTTGGCCTGCCGGCGCTAGATGATGACGCCCCGGTCGCTGATTCTCTCCGTTCGGCCTTCTGTCTTGGCTAGTGTGGCCTCTTCTTTTGGCCTAGGCTTCTACGTGATTACTACGAAAGAAACCTGGAAGAAACAAAACAAATTTTGGCATCCGATTTTGATGCGAACGTGATCGAATTTCGCATTTAACTTGCTCGTTAGATAGCTCAGGCGCTGCGGTCGCGTCGTTTACTTAAAGTAGGAAAAACTCTAATGACAAAGAAAGGTACTACGACGTGGACCTTAACGTCGATACGACGACTAAATGAGTTTGCCTTGCGCAATAGACTGAATCCATATCAATGTTAGGATAGGAATTGATGTCTGAGAACCACCCGCGCCGCGAAATCCGACATCGGACTCTTTTGCCCGTGGGAGCGGAGTATCGTGATCGGGTCGGAGCGGTTCAAGATCGCTCTCGAGCTTAATGACTCGGTCTCGGTGGAGTGAAATTTATTTAACACACAGCTGCTGATGGAGTGAAATGAAAAGCATGGCAAGTACGAGTAGTTGCTGCACGAATAGTTCCTTGTGACGAGACGTTCGCCAGCGGACACGCAAAGCATCTAATCGAACTCAAGCTTTTCTTTTTAATGATTCGATCGTGTGTAATGGCAATGTTATTTCGCTGTCGCGTGAGGGTTTTTCAGATACAATCGTATAGACTATAATTACTGACATTGTCGACTTAATGCAATAGGGCTCTGCAACCATTTGGGACAATAATGTTCCAAGATCAGACTCTGAGGAAGGAGGAATCGCACGCAGTGAAAAAGGGAAATGGAAGGCAATGAGCTTGATTCCTCGTGCTAAGTAACTTTTGCGCCAGGAACGAGATTAAACATGCTCAATCCCATGCTCAATCCATTCATGACATTTGGCGAGATGACAATTTCCATTCGACCCCGCACTACTTCTACCGAATGCGCGGGGAAGAGGTGATCATTGGGCAGGCTTGAGTTTGGCCGAGTCCTCAAGTCGGGTCCGACTTGTGTGCCAAGTTCCGTCGTAGTCTTTTGTGGGCCGGGCAGACCTGGTTTGGGTATGAACGAGATGTATCGGGCCTTATACCTAACCTGTGCCCAAGCCAACCATATAGGTCCTAGAGCGGGTGGTCCGACAAGCCTATGATCAGGTCTAGTTAGTGCCGGGTCCAAAGGTCAGACCCTAAGGATCTGCACCAGGGGAACAGTATAGTTCTGGCTTTGAATCACGAATCCTGTTTCGAAAAGCAATTTCTGCTTTTAAGAAACACGAATCATTTTCTAGAATTTAAGCACGATTTTTATTTCTCTCGTCTTCTTCAACAATGCCAAACGGATAAGAAACATGTTTTCCAACAACTAGTTTCTCGGCATAACATATGTAACCTAATGATAGCCTCCTCCAAAAGTTCCCCCCCTTCCCCAACGCAGAAATTGCGACGGGCACTCCAGCTCTGCATTCTATTCAGCCTCCAATTCCTTCCACCAAACATGTTCATATAGAGCAACAGGTAGTAGGCAGGGCACCACTAGCAGGATCAACAGGTTCAAGGGGAGCCTTTTCCAAAGTTCAACTAAAATGTCCCGGGACTTCGTATACGTACTTCATCTAGAAAATCTGTAAGGCTGTTGCTGACAACGACGTCCCTGCTGGAGATATCAGGATTCAGGACAACAATTAGAATGCAAAGAGAAAGGAAGAAAAAACTAGGCCACCTTCGATCTTGGCTTAATACTTATGAACTCACCAAAAACAGAAGTACGAATTCTCTAGATGCGGTCCATGTGGACTGGATAGATCTGAGACATCAGATAAGGTGGGTCTGGAGTGACACCCGCTGATCTGACGTATCATGTCATTTTAGTCCACATGGACCTGAACTAGTGGAGTTTTTGACACCCTAACGTCCATCACTCAAGACTTCAACATACTTCAACAACCACCTCAAATAAGCCATGCTAAAAACACGAGGAAAAACTCAATGATTTTTTCTGTGACAGAATGTATTGGAGTCAATATATAGTCCCCATAACAAAGTCTAGCATGGATATAAACAACACGAATGATGCTACTCTATCTAGCCACAAACGATACCTGACGTCTGAGATCAATCCAAAGCTTTGCGTAATGATGTAGAAGATCCTGAGAAAATGAGTCCTCTCTGGTCAGATAACTTGTTAATAGGGCCATCATTGTGAACTGGCGATTCTGATGATCGAGCGACGTGAGGAAGAATCCCAATCACGGCCTGTGTTTCTCTGTAGGATGCCCAGGTGACCACATAAAGTCCCCCAATAATAAGGGCTCCTCCTAAGATGCTGCTCACCGACATATTGAACAAAGTCAGCTTTGTTTTCATAATAGAAAGTTAAAGTGCAATTTTAACGAAACATGGACCAATAAAACTTGAACAAAAGAAGCATACATCTATTAAGCAAGAGAGCCACAAATACTGTGAAATCACATCATATGTCAAAAAGTGATCATTTGCGAAGGTTGCCATTGAAGAAAGTACCTCCCCAAATAAATAGGACTCCCAAGGAATATTCTAGACAGAAAGGCAGATGCAGCAGGTTGAAGTGGATTGTACAAAGCAACCAGAGATGGTCCAAGGATCTTATTTGACCATGTCAACAGTCCATAGTTAAGGGCTGATGCAATTACTCCCTACAAAAGAATATTAATCATAACAGGTACTTTAAGAGAAATTAAAAAATAATTTTTGCAGGACACAAAATGTTCTTGTCAGATAGACCAGCATTTAAACCATATCGCATTTTGCACTAATTGTAATACATAAAGAGAAACTGCCAACCATGCTTTCCAGGTTTTGTGCAATTTCCATATTTTTTTTCTCCTTAAACTAATTATCCAATCGACTTTTTTCATCGAACTCGCAAATCCAAGATCAACTGGCAATGTATGCAGAGAGTCTGATTTAATAATTCTCGACTGGTTGGCATATCATTCTCCACATACCCTGTCTTTTTGCTCATCTGAACTGTGAGCAATTTAGTTTCTTCCGTGAGCAAAAGACTCACCAATCTTAAGCCTTTCCAAACGGAAAGATTATTCCAGTCACATCAACACATACTCCACCAAACCTACCAGACAAATTCTGAACCTTCTCATGTTCCATAACTCTTCTGACTGAATCCAGCTTTTCCATTTTAATGCTACCAAATCATTTTTTTAGCTTTTATTCTCATATCTTCAATCTACCGACAGAAGAAAGGGCTGTAAAACTCTGACTAGGCACTAATGCGCCAAGATCTGCTGAAATTAAAAAGCCCATGTATGTATCGCTCAAAACGACAAGAAGAAATGGAACTTCTCCACAAAACTATTTTGAAGTATCAAGTCGTGGATTTTGGCCTCCTACTATGTAAGCTCATAGTGCTTCTTCACAGATAAGGTACCTACGTCTGATAAAGTCATTTTCCAGGATCAGATAAATCTCTTCCTAATCAAGATCATTAATACTTTAAATGATCTCAGCTCCTCCCACATTAATGATAACTCCTAATCACAAACTAGCACTGGATCCAACACCTTATCTCAGGATTCTCACAACAATGAAATCATTGAGAAGCTCACAGCTGCTGATTTCACCCACTGTTGCATCTACAACCAGAATTAGGCTATACAAGGGTTCGCTCAAATACACATCCCATTCTATTCCCCACCCCCAAGCCCCAAAAAAAAATTTGCATTGATTGGACTAAATCGGAACAATACAAATCAAGATTAACAAAAGTTAACACCATTTATTAGCAAAATAAACAGTCGGATCAATACAACTCATGCCACCAAGAGTTGTATCTATCAACAAAGACCTCTAACCTCAAATTCTTTCTAGAGGAAATCTTAGGTAGTGGAATCTCAAAAATGCATATTCAACCCTCTAAGAAACACAGACAGCCATATTTCCCCCTCTAACACACACAGCAGCCATTACTTGATCTTTCTTAACACATATACTCAACCAACAACAGCACTGAATAGTTTTTAACAGAGTCACGGTTTTGGCAAAAAATGCCAAGGCGACAAATTATAATCATCACTGTCCTTTTCTAGATAATGAATTCGGTTCAACACCAAAGTTATATGTGTTCTGTCTAATTTACTCTTCATATCTATTTCCTATCCTGATTCTTAGATTAGCAAAACAAAATGAAGTTACTTGACTAAGTTGATAATTTTCCTAGGCTATATTTACAGTTAAGCAGGACTCCCATGTGAGACAGCTCTTACAACTGCCCACCTAGATATGCAAGGATCACAGAACCAATGAGCAAATGTATAGTACGTCTCCAGAACTTACAGCATAGATGACGGCAAAAAGCTCCGATTGTGTCAGGCTCCATTCTGTTGACTCGCTTGTCATGAAGAATGCTACAGTTACCATAAATACAGCACCAAAGAAGTATGAATATGCCGTTACGGAGAGGCTTGCAGGATATTTGGCTAAAAGTGGAGCCTGAAACAGTTGCACATTAAACTATTAGCAACTGATTCAGCATTTCTACTAGTATATTCTGATATATATATATAAATAATTCCGACCAAAACAACACAATTTAATCGTTACTATGAAGCAAAAGAGTATCATTTAGTATGATACAACAAAGACTAAGAAAAAGAGCCTGAAGAAAATTGGGTATCACGAGGTGCAATGCTTCTTAAGATTCGAAATGTAGCTTCAAGAGATCTGTGCTCAGTGCATGTATAAGACTGTTGCCTGATGTAGTGATATGATGCAGCCTCCTAGTTAGATAACACCGGCAGCATGACTATCTTGTTCAGGCAACCATAGTTCACCAAGTAGTAGGCTGTTTGCAAATAAGCATAACGTGCAAGCAGTTTCTCAATTGACATTTCCAACTTGATAATCTAGGTCACCCAGAAAAGGAAGAAAGAACGTTGATCCCTCTTTTCGAGGAAAAATCAAGCAAGATAAATCCATATTAATTCAATCTTCTTTGGATAGGACATCACTCCACGATATCATTAACGACTAAGAAACGCTCCACATATAAAAGAAAAAAAAAGATTGAAACTAGTGGTTTCAAAAAGATATCTTTCTATGGAGTTCAAAAATAATAAGTTACAGAACACCACTAACAAGTTTATATAGATATCCAACAAAGATGATACAAGTTCTTACAGGTATTATACCTATTTAAGCTTTCTAACTGTGTCGTTTAAAATGATTTAAGAGAGAGAGAGAGAGATAGGTCCATTCCCACCGGCCTCCTCCCTAATCAGGCTATAGGTTCATACCATTAAGTACATGCTAATAACAAGAAACTGTGATATTCACTCCTCAAGAAATAGACTAATGATGCTTTGTCAGGACGTGTGGCAACTAAATGGGGAAAAAAGTCGAAGTTTTAAATATTAAAGCCTTGCATAGTGATGACTAGCAAATGACTTATTAAAGCGAAAAGAATCAAATTGGGGAGAAAGTAATAGACCAAATATTCCTCACACAGTAGCTATGCCTTTTAGCAATGAAGGAACTTCAAGGAAATCTGCTAGTAGAATGATGGAAGCATAACACCCTAACATAATCTAATAGAGATATAGACTACATAATCTCCATACCTGAATAGCTAGAAAGGCAGCCATGCACATGCAATTTCCTATCAAACATAGAATCCCGAGGTGCCAATCTTCAATCCCAAACTCCAGGAAGCTGGATAAGAACCATCCCGCAGGCTCCGGTTGACCTCTGGCCATAATTTCACTGTGTGCAGCAAAATCTGCTTCCTTGTATCCAATCAAAGCAGGGCCACGAAACACAACCATTAATACTGCACCACAAACGCAGAGAAGAGTGCCTCCAACCTTTGCCTGACCCTCAATCCTAAGCAAATTCACTGTTTCTGTACTGCACAAAAAACTCATCTGTTATTTATATAGAATGTGATACATTTTGATATTGATAAAAGAACTGATTGAAGAAACAACACAGCATGTAATACACACATGCAAATACACACTATTTAGAAGAATCACAAAAAGATAGGAGATTTTCAGACTGACCCCATCATTACTGCGAAGAGGAAGGTGAAGACAGGAATGGCAGGCTGAATGGCAGCAGCATAAGTTGGATTTGTGTAGCTAAGACCAATAAGAAACAACAACTGGTTGCCAAAAATCCTGCCCAAAATTCACAGAAAGGGCATACTATCAAAATTTCAACATAAAGAGCTGGTCGATCTCATCTTTCTCATTGGAGGGATTCTTCGAAAGAGAGTAATACTCATCCATACCATGAGCAAGTAAAAGTAAGTTCAGTGAGAACAAATCAAGCTACTAGTTTGTGCCCACCCTCCGTCAGATATTTCTAAGATCAAATTGATGTACAGCATGTTAAGCAGATCGCGAACATACCCAGTTAATCCCAAGAAGAAAAAAGACACGAGGAGGCGTTTGGTCATCGGAAGCCGCATCCTTCTGCAAACCAAAGGGAAAAATCACGACTTCAGTTTAACAAACACGTCAATATCTGCTCAGATAAACTCTGAAGGCTTATTTTAACAGCAGAAGAACACCAAAAGCACTAATATCTGCATTTGGTTAGACACAGCAGATTATGGCCAAATTAAAGAGTCAAAGACAACATATTCCACAGTGCCAAAAAAAAAAATTTAACCTTTAGACTAACCATTTCAGGGATGCAAAAGATGATTCAAACCCAAAAGCCTATTCCTTTCCATGCCGTAACCATCAGATTCACACACAATAACGTCGCAAGATAGAACCCAAATCGTACCAATTGCAAATTTGATACAGAGAGAGAGAGAGAGAGAGAGAGATACTTCTCGCGGACATAGGCGATGGGGGCGAGGATCGAGAGAGCGAGGAGGTCCCGGAAGACGCAGAAGACGAGCTGATTGACGCCGACGTTGAGGGCCAATTTGGTGATCACGTGGTACCCTCCATAGCCGAGCTGCACCATCACCAGGGCCGCGTGCGCCCTCCACGCATCCCCTCCTCCTCCGATCGCATTCCCGTTCCCTAGAGCCGCCATCTCCGCGCACACACCCTCTCCGGCTCTCTTCCAAAGCAGGCGCCACAAAATCTGACAGAAAAAGACCGAGACTTTTCGCCAACGCTTAGCGGGTCGAGGACGATGAGTAGGCGGTGCTTGGTGGAATGCTTGCTTGGAGGACGGTCAAAAGGAGAGCCCCTCGAGGAGAGCTTGAATCTGGGATCTCCCCCGTTTCCAAGGGGGGGGGGTCGATACAACAACGAAAGTTCTCAGAATTCCTTCGGATGGAACAACTGGGAACGAGTCATTTCTAGTCAATGGACATTAAATTCGTGAGCGAGAACTCCCTTCTCTTTAAAGTTTTGTCCTTTTCCTTCGTTTGATGGTCATCATCATCCCTACATCCTACGGCTCGGTCGGGTCCCATTTCGGATTTCGCATAGTTTTCAGCTAAAACGGGTCCTCCTCAACCTCCAAAGATACTCGGCTTCTACGTGAAGACAACTACATGCCTCCTAACGCTCTCTCTCTCTCTGCCTCTGTGCAGTTGAGTCTTTCATCTTTAGACCCGAGTGCAAGGTCCCACGTTGTTCTTGCTCATCAACTGAACGGTACCCCTCACGAGCTCTGCGCTTGGTTCCTTGTAAAAGTCGAAAGATCTCTCCTTTTCCACCGAAAAATCTCTCCTTCTCCTTATCAAGTGAAAAGCTTTCTTTGAAATTTTCAGCATGACATATTTTCGTCGAGCAAAGTGACGATCCTCCGATGATGCCATGCACAGTGTGTACGGGCGCGTGTGAGGACAACACATGCTTCAATAATTGACGAGGGCGGCAAAAGAAGCTCCAGAAAAGAGGGAGGATGATTTTGTTTTCTTCTAGGATATATAGAAGGAGGGAGAGAGAACGGGTCGTCCGTCCATTCGTCGCGGACAAAATTAGTTTTCAGACTTCTTTAATCATGACCTAGAAAGAAAGAAAGCAATGTCGTGAAACAATGTCATTGTATGTAGCGAATAGAGTAATAAATATCAAATTATATCGGGTGACTCGTTAGGGTAGTTACCTTATCATTTTTCGATTTACCCATTTGTTTCGAGACGTCAAATTTAGGATTTCAATTAATATAGAAGACATGACACATAGACGAGATAAATTTCCAGGTAACGTCGGAAAAATAAAGAAACTGGACATATCTGATTGCTAAATAATAAGGAAAAATGACACAAATGATCTATGAACTTTGATCCAACATGTAATGTGATCATTGAACTCTTAATTATTTAATGTGACCCCTATCAACCAAATATATATCTATCAAATATAAAGCTATTGATTTTGGAAGATTTGGAATCTTATCTTTGGAAGTTAGAATGTTTTTCTATTTTACGTATTTCTTTTCTTGCTAGTAAATCTTCTAGAATGTACTCTTGAGTATATAAATACCCAACTAAGCTTAATGGAAATACACAAAGATTTCTGTCTCAACAGTCTCTAAAGTTTTGATACATGTTCAATCTAGTCATTGGACTATATGAAATTGTTAAATGCCGTCCCTGAACTTGAATTAGTGTAAGAACGACACTAAACATTTTCATTCGGAAACTAACTTGAATATATACCAAAAGTCTAGAGACCGCATTGAACAAATTATGTCACGCCCCACACTCTACGAGCGCGCGATCATCCCTCGATGGTCGATCATTGAATGCGACGTCCCAGGCACGTCGCCGACCCAACCCAAACATCAGAGATTAGGCACGCGCGGAAACAAATAGAAACAACCCAGACAATTAATAATGACAAGGGGTAACAATAGCACAAAACAATAACTGTAATTCCAACACTTGGCAAATACATACAGTGCTCATCAAAAGGGACAATGGTTCGCGAACTTAACTCCTCTACAAAAGGGGAAACTCAAAATACGGGACACTCGACCCGTCCTCGATCTCCGAGATACCCTTGCAGCGTCTCCCATCACTCACGGTCGCGGATCCGAAATGGTTATATAATAACCGTGAGAATGAGTCTCAATAAAGAACCCCCTATACCCCACGTAGGCCAATGCGTGCACCTGCACAAGTCGTACATAGCAAACTACCCCATAACATATAGAGTTCACATCATTATACTTACCTTGCCCTCGAATCATGAGCCAACCCTGCATATTAGTCCAAACATGACAATGCAAGAATAGTTCATCATCATATCACGGTCACCCGGCACACGCAATCTCACTCGCACTTAACCAAATTCCACCCAAGCAACCACACGTTCAACCTGGTCAATTAAATCACACGCTCAACCAACCAAATCGGGCCACACGCTCAACCAGCCCAATTCGGTCACACGCTCAACCACCAATTCGGTCACACTCAAATCACATGCGTGTCCGAACATCTTTCTCACAACTCGCGCCTTGCGCCTCAAATTCATTCTCACAGCACACAAGCCTCACAATTCGATCAATTCCAATGGCCGCCGTCAACACGTCCCAAGCCATACCATTCAATCAATTCCAGTGCTCGCCGTCAACACGTCCCAAGCCACACTTTCCTTTCACGGACCGCCGTCAACACGTCCCAAGTCCGTAGCCCTCCGATCAATCCGGGCTCAAATTCCAATGACCGACGTAAACACGTCCCGGTCCAACACACCTTTAACGGGCCACCGTCAACACGTCTCAAGCTCGAATCCATTTGGCACATTGGCCATTCATGCCTTCACACGGACCGCCGTCAACACGTCCCAAGTCCGTAGCCCTCCGATCAATCCGGGCTTAAAATCGACAGGCAAGCACACGCCAATCAATTAAATCAATTTCACGCCAATTGCATCAAACAACCCATACTCACAACTCAGTCCAATTCACAATTCGCCACCTCAGTCCACAAACCCGACGTTCAAGTCGGCCACACACCATTACCCGAGTCAAGCATATCATTTAATCCAATTTAAATAGCGCAATTGTAACATAATATAATTAAATTAAAACACGCCCTAGCCGTTCTAACCCGAGACAAGTCAATAAAGTACCCAAAATACTAGGTAGGGTTTAGGAAGCCACTTACTAGATTTTGGCCCGGGAAAAGTCGGCTCGGGCCTAAAATGGCCCGAGTGAACAGTGTCTCACTCGGCGCGGGCGAGGGCGCGACGGGCGCGGGGCTCGGCCACGGCGCTCGGCCATGGGCACGGCCCTCGGCCACGGGCACAAGGCTCGGTCACCGGGCTCGGCCACGGGCGCGGGCGCGGGCACGGGCGCGCGGCCGGCGCGCGGCGTGGCGCGGGCGTGGGCAACGGGCGCGGGCCGTGGCTGGTCGGGCCAGGCTTGCTCCGGCAGCTAGCGGTGGCGGCGACGCGGCGGCGAGCAGGGCGGCTCTCCGACGACTAGCTCGGAGGGAGAGAAGAGAGTCGGCCGGAGTGGGGTGGCGAGGGAGAGAGAGAGCTGGGGCGGTGAGGGCTCGGAGCCGGCGATGCTCGGGCGGCATGGCGGTGGTCAGTGGCAGAAGGTGTTGGATGTTTGTTTGTAAAACAAACAAAACAATGCTTTTTCCTTTGTCCCACATAGGAAAGTTTTGGGTAAGTGGGCCATTTTATAACTGTGAGTGTCTTCTTACTCCTTAGAGTGAAGACAACGGGGTGTGTGCTAGTCCACACAATACCCGCGTGCGGGTGCGCGAATAATTGCGCGATTTTGGCGCGATTATTAGACGCACTTAGCACTTAGCACGCTTGCGCGGCCGCAGTTTAATTAGCTCTAATCCCTTTATTTTTTATTTTATTTCGTAAGGTTATCTCCTTAATCTTTATTAATTGAAAGGTTGCATTTTGTTTATTAAATAATTTTCGAAATTATGAAAATTCGAAATTTTATTTATATATATTTTTTATTTTATTTTATTCCGAATTTTACATGTGTCTTTTCAAGACAACTTTCGGAGATTATACTTGTTCAGTTTTCAACCTTTTCCGAAAGGTTGCATTTGTTCAATTTGCAACTTCTTCCGAAGGAATATCTTTATTAGCTTTGCAACCTTTCGTGAAGAGTTGCCTATGAAGACCGATTTCTATATATGTCAGTTTTTTGGCAAGAAGGAAATTCATTAAATTTTTCAAGTCTTCTTTTGAAAAACTACAGCCATCATTTTCAATTGTTTCCTAGAGAGATCCTGGAGAAATACTAGAATTGCTATCTAGTATTCTCAATTTGAGACTTTGTTGTATCTTGGAGGATTTTTGCCGGTGACCATTAGCAGCATTGTGGGGCAAATAAATCCTTAAGGAAAGTGATATCACGCCTCAAAGTTTGACTTGATTGCTCTTTGATTCGAAGCCATTCAAATTTCACAACAGAAGGGACGCCGGGTGGTGGTGGACGAGGTAGCGACGTCGGCAGGCAGCGGCGAGCTGCTCCCCGACGACGATGGGAACGAAGGAAGAAGAAGAGGAAGGTGGCCGAGGCGGGTGGCGCGGCTAGGGGCGTTCGGCGGCGGCGGCGTAGGCGCTCCCAGGGCGTCGGGGCGATCTTTGGGAAGAGCTTTGGCGGGCAGTACGTGGCCGGGACTCGTCGAGCTGCTGGCCGAAAGCAAGGAGCTCGCGCGCTCGGAGGGAAGGAGGAAGGCAGCGTCGGGGCGGCTAGGCGGAGGTGGCGGTCGGATGGTGTGCGGTGGTGACGAGCGGCGGAGGTCGATCCGGCGAGCGGCGATTGGCGAGCTGGGTCGGCGCTGGGCGGAGCAGGGCCACACGCAGGCTCGTCGGGGGAGAAAGAAAGAAGACTGAAGAAGAAGAGCAGAAGAGAAGAGAAGGAAGAAGGAAGAAGAAAGAAGAAGAAGGAAGAGGAGAGAGAGAGAGAGGGGTGGGGTGTCAGAGGGGGGGGAAATGGGCGTGCGTGCATGCGTGATGGACGTGTGCATGCAAGGGGGAAAAAGAGAGAGAGAGAGAGAGGAAGGAGAGAGGGCAGACGCACGGGAAAAGGAAACGTGCAGGTCTGGGGCTCGGCGCGACAGAGGGGAGAGAGAGAAAAGAGAGAGAGAGAGTAGACGGGACAGGGGGAACGCGAGCGGGAAAAAGGGGAGGAGAGAGAAAGAGAGAGAAAAAAAAGTCCGCGCACTCGAATGCGATTCAACGGACACGATTCAAACTAAAAATCGATTTAACGATCACGATTCAAATTCGGAAAAAGATCTAACAGTCCACGAAAAATCCCAAATAATAATATAGGGCAAAGGGCCAAAATAAAATAACTCAGAATACACTACGAGGGAGATCTACTAGTCCAAATCCGCACCTGGTCCAAAATTTCACTTTTCCACTATTCCCGGCAATCTCGAGGCTGGCCACAATAATATCGACACTGTCCAATTAAATTCGTCCCGAAACTCCCGAAAATCGACTGCCAAGTTCGGGGTCTAAATAATGGCCAAATTCGATCGAGTGCGATTCTAGTGAAACCTCAACTGTAAAATAATAACCGGGAGTGATCAGTTCCCGGGCGAGATTTTACTATAAGCACACTGACGAATTACACGTTTTATAAATCCCAAAAATGGACTGAAATTTGGAATATCACAAATTAAAAATTCGAGGACCATATTATACATTGGATTAAAGTTCATAAACCATAACGAAAAGATTCAAAGTTCATGGAAAGTTCATAAACTATTCGTATCATTATCCCAAATAATATCAACAACAATAATAATGAAGATAGAAGGTGGGTGCATAGATTTCAATCAAATATCAGGGCTTTGGCCCCAAAAACGACGAGGGATTCGGGCTCGCAGAGAGGTGGGTCGGCCCAACATCCATCTTCCCCACCCGAGAATCCGTCAGTCAGGCGGAGCTTCCCGTCCATGGCGATCTCTCTCTCTCTCCTCCCTCTCTCTCCTCCGGTTCATCGCTTCTAGCCGACGTCGATCGGTCGGAGTAGTCGCCGGCGCGCCCAAAAGATCGCGGCTTGATCGCTCCCCGACCGGGAGCGACCCTCCGCCTCCTCCTCCTCCATGTCGGCTTCGGACAACGAAGACGAGAGCCTGGCCAACTTCCTCGAGTCCGAGATCCTCTCCGAGGTGAGAAAATCCGGCCCTCGTTCGGTTCGGTTCGCTCCGATTGGCGATTTTTTCTCCTAAAGTTCGAATTTTTAGAGCAATTCGATCCGGTTTCCATTTGTTTATGTCCCTCAGGAAAGCGTCGACGCCGCCGCGGCCGCGGCCGTCGCCGAGCCGGAAGCGAAGCGGCAGCGCTCGGGGGGAGAAGGGGCGCCGGAGGAGGGAGAAGGCGATGGCAGGAGCAGCGGCAGAAGCGCGGTCTCGTTGAGGTTCGACACTGGGATCCTGAGCAAGATACCTCCCGAGCTGTTCCCCAACATCCTCAAATTCCTCTCGTCCGAGGTCCGTTTATCTTTCCTCGTAGCAGTTCCTTATCAATGGCGATGTTACGCATTGTGTGTTTCTGTCTCTCTTTCTTTTCTTCAAAGAGAAAGGGGAGTATCTGGAGTTGATGGAGAATGGTGTTGCAGGATCTCATGGCGTGCTCGATGGCGTGCAAGTCGCTGAATTACGCAGCGTCTGATGAATCCTTGTGGCGCCGACTGTGAGGGCCTCTTCGAATTCCTGCTTCTTTCGATTTTTGTTTCTTCATTTCTCTGCCGTAATCATGTCGACATGCAAAGTTTAGTGTTTTTCTTTTTTTGGTTGCTTTTCCTGTGTTATTCCTTGGGTCTGAGGTGCATATCTCATTTTCCCCTGCTTTTGCATTCTTCGTTTGTTTTGGTTGTTCTTCTTGAAGTTTTAATCTTTTTCATGTTTTTTCAAGAAGAGAAAGCAGATAAGGTTCATCTGATGTCACCTTAATGCACACTTTGCACACCATGCCACACTGCACTAGTAGTTTTTTTAACTTTGAAAAAGAAGATATTTTTGGGTTCTTTGACTTTGGTTATCGATTGGCCTATAGTCCCGTGGCATTGCCACCCATCTGTGTCCTGTAGTCTGCGGCCGATGGAAGAGGTTCTTTGACAAGCGCCTGGTGGGTTGGATGTTCCATCTTGAAGCTAGTTATCTGACCATAATCTTCTAAGTGTGTTAATTGGTCAATGGTTGATGTGGAAAGATTTGTTTTTTTTACCTTTTAACATTGAAAACTATCCTGATAAAAGAGTAAAGCGGGATGGACGAAGTGGATGAATGCGATGATCTTTTGAGTTTGTTTTGTTCTTGCTGTTCCTTTTCTATGTTTACATGCTTGATCTGATCTCTAGCTTTTGTTCAACGTATCGAGTTCTTTCAGGTACCGAATTCGGTGGGGTCTGCTGCCACCAACTAATAAGATACGACAATCCGCGTGGAAGAAGCTCTATATCCAGGTACACGGCCATTTTTTATTATGCTACCTACAGAGCCTAAATTTTGCTACTTCTTTTTCAGTTTGTTAACTGCACTCACTTCTTTTTATGCTCAATAATAGTCACAACATGACCTCCGGTGTTTGTCATAGTTGCTAACTTCTTCTCCTTTCTAGTTGCGTTCATGTATTAGGAAAATCTTCCATTTTTTTTTTCAAACAAGTTGAGTCAGTCCATTCACTCTTTCTTAAATCAGAGCCGTGATACATTATCAAAGTTTAAACTGCCACAAGGAATTGTGAGCCTGTGACATGAATAGCGTGATGATCTGGTGTCATGGTTTTGTTTCGACAATTATCTGTTATAGTCAGGCAACACTTGAATTATTTTTTCTTTTTCAATTGACATGTGTGCATTGATGGAGCTGGTTTTTGCTTTGTCTTACAGAGAAAGCTGGTAAGATGGTGAGATGAAAAGGTTTTTAGTTCAGTCTTTTGGAACTAAGATCAGATGTAGATTAATTCAATTGGAAAGGCCAACTTTGCTTGACCATGGACCTCCAGAATTTGAGTGGATATGACCTGGTCAGAGACTTCTGTGGTCACTGACCTTACTTGGTGGCTCTAAAGAAGGAAGTAATATCAGTGAAAGAGGCATCAAAGATCTTGACTTTGTATATGGTTGCTTTGGTCCCGAGCAAGGTGGTGAGTTGAATGGGTGAAATGATGTTAGTGGTGACAGTGCTGTAGGATGCCAATGGATACTGTGATGCGTGTTCTGTTTTCTGGAGTTTAACAAAAGAAACAGGATTTTCAGTATCCATACAATTTGCGAGAGTAGAGTTGCTGCTGTTCCTTGGTAATAGTGTTCGCCCTTTGTTATGGGTGGGAATGGCAAGTGTCCTTGGTTTAGGATGAGATAAAGCAAGCATGCCAACGGAAGAAAATTGGAAAATGGGGGAGTAGGAGCCAGACAAAATAAGGCTAAACGTCATGCAACAAAATGAGAATTGCTTGTAGACTTGTCTAGTAAAGAATTGGTGGTTGTTTTTTTCAGTTGGTATGTCTTCAAGGTTTGTAACATGGTGAAAGATGTCCAGATAAGTGAATAAACAGTGACATACTAATAGATATTCTGCTAGTTTGCTTCTCTAAAGCGAGATGCAGGAGCATACTCACTCACAGCATAAAGGCCAATGTAACCCATAAATGCTCAGAGAGATGAGAATAAAGAAATTAAGAATTTTAAATTTTGATTGACATTCATCTGATGACAATTTTAAATAGATCAATTGCGATAGTTTCTAACATAAGGGAGCAAGCCACTTATAATGTCTAGTAGGAGGCTCTTTAGTATGATTCAGGATAGAGGTATTAGAGATTTATGAGTGTATATAGTACAGTGGATGCTATGTTGAATTAAGAGGAGATTGACAAATGACAATGTCTTTATCATTCATCTCTCAGTTGGGCAGTTGCGAATCTTCTGAGTCCACATGTTGTTCTTGATTATTGATGTTGTTTCTACTAGGCAGCCAGTACTTAACCTGGCCAATCGCATTGCACTTGTTTCAGTCGGTTCTCTTATTTGATTTGATTGTAATACTTACATGGTTGCAGCGCGATGAAGAGGACCTGAGTGAACTTGTCAGAAACTGCCCAGCAGAGTTTAAAGAATACTACATCCAAATGCAAGCTGCAAAGAGAAGCCAAGCACCTCTTCCTTCACAGGTAAATGGAGCTTGCTTTTGTAAGGATTCTTTAATGCGGTGATATTACAGGTCAAAGGTTGGATTTGTTGGAATATTGTATCAATTGGTGCTAGTGGTATAGCTTTCCAAACCTTGACTGGAATTTCTTCCAGGGAGTAGATTGTTGGGTAGAATTGTGCACTTGGTGTCTTCTGCTGTGACTTTCACATGTAGTTCTTTAGCTGTATACTAACAATATTGTGGTCGATCCTTTTCATTTTTGCATTACAACCGTTACGAAGTAATGGAAGCTGTTCAAAGAAAAAAGATTTGATGTTGCTCCATTCGTGGCTCTTATTTGTAAACGCTTTTTTGCTTGAGATATAATCCTGAATAGCATTACTACACTATTATTCTCGACACAGCATACTTTGATCAACAGGCTTTACTAGTCACTTTCCATGAAATTTTCAATTACCACACGTGTTTCTGGTTTGCTCAGTGACTCATGGGTTCATCCTTTAAATTTCACCTACATGTTTGCTTGTGAAGGTGAATGATGATCGGATGATTCTTGATAAGACAGTCGCTGATCAAGTGTCTATGTGGAAAAGCAGCAAGGGGTTCACTGATGCATTGGTTCTGGACCACGTTTGTTCAGGAGAAACATGTTCTTATCACCAAATTGGCGATGTCTTCGTTTGTGAGAAGACTGGAAATGTTCACGGTAAAATACTTTAAATGCTAACGACTATAAGTCTCTATAGTGTATCCAATTTATTATGTCGTGCAGGAATGTCTTTGCTAATTTGGTTTTTCTTCATTATTGTTTTTCCTTTCAGTCTGTGATGAGACGTGCAGAGAAACAGTTATGGATCCTGCCAATGAGCTCTTGGTTTGCAAAATATCTGGACACTGTTTAGATAGGCTGCTGTCAGCTGCTGAAATGGAGCCTGATGCTGTGAGTAGAATGTCTTCTTTTGACACTCAAATTTCTTAAAACAGAGTCGTTTTTTTGTCTATATAGCCAGGATCACAGAATTGACTGCTAGCATTTGTCGTTCTCGTAGAGTCAAATCTTTGTAAATTTAACTGATCTTTTTGCTTTTTTGCATTCAGGAGCAGCAGCAAGGTGGTGTGACAGATGAAGCTGAACCATTCATGGGATCTGGTCGATTTGGTAACTAGTTAACCCTTTCCTGTGTCTTTTATCTTTAGCTATAATAGACAACTGCCTCACACTGTGCGTCCTTGTGTCTCGCAGCACGAGCTTATTTATTGGGATACAATTGCGATGACGAAAGCGAGTTAGATGCTGTGTTGAGGTTTTGCTGAATTTTGGGGATGGCATGTATATGGTTTTGCAGGTCAGCAAAACTGTCCGAGTGTTTGTCCATTTGAATAGCTGATGCCAGCCTAGTCTGTATAGTTATATTCAAAATAATATTATTAGATGACAGAAAATTTGTTTAGGGTTCCTACGAACTCTCATGGTGTAATCTGGTTGGATAGATGTTAACATCTCTATGGAAACATGTTGTCAAAGGTTTCCCCTGATATTTTTACCATGATTCCTGGATTCGTGGTTCTCCATTTTGCTGGTGGAGCATTTATCTTTTGAATTTTCTGGTGATATCATTATACCGTTTACGCCTATATTTCTTTGTTTTAGCTTCTGCTTTGGGACATTTATTTATCCCTGGCCAGTTCATTAGCCAAAATCCTTCTCGATCATCTTGAGTCGTGATGCTGAGAGCTTGGGGGACAGATAACTGATGTTTGCAAACCTTAAGTGATCTCTTTCAACTGTCAGTGTCTACACGCTTATGTGAAGTTGGATTTACACTATGTTGATACATGTATCTAGTTGAACATGCACACTTGACACTTAACTGGCTGCACGGCATGAATGTCCCTTCTGTCTTTCTGAACAGTTCACCTCTTCATAGTGGCTTCTATACGTTACGTTGTCCAAACTAGCTTTAACTTTAGAAGCCTGACTTGGGTTAATTTATAGCTATTCGAGTGGATTGTAAACTTAATACGTTTTGCACTCTGATTTCTTCACATTGAACAAGACTGGAGCTTTTCTTGGATCATTCCGTATCAAGGCTTCAAGTAAGGCTTTTCCTCTCTATTTGTCGTAGCACAAAGAGGTTGCCTTTTTAACTATTGGGAAAAGTCACAAAAAAAGTCAAATTATGACCACCGTGACACATTTGTGCCGAGCTCTTTTTGTAACATTAACAACCCGAAACAATACCCACTTTAACACATTAAAAAACTCCAAACTTGTACATATGCGACACATTTATTCTCCATCAACTATTTTTTAAATGATTTTCAGTCAAAATAACTTCCTTTTTATTTTACTTAAGCTATGTGGACTCCATGTCAACATTTTTTGTTTTCTGGCGTCTATGTAGGTAAATTTTCAATGGTTCTCATTGACAGGAAAATTGACGAAAAGTAAATGTGCCATACAAACACAATTTTGAGATTTTTTGTGTCAGAAAAAAGTTTAGATTAAATTTATCACAGTAGACATAACTAGGGGTTTTTTGTGGCTTTTGCCCTTAACTATTTGACCGAGTAGCACATGCCAACATTGTTCCATACCGGTGATGCAACATCAACAGTTTGACGAGTTAATATCGGCATATGATGGAAGACTCCCGTCACACGAATTGACTGAGCTGAAGAACTCGATTCATTAGAAAGAACAAGAGGACTAGATCTAGAATTGTCAAAGAAACTCGTTTTTCGACTCATAAAAAGTGTTGAATAAGCATCTCTACATCATTCCTAACAAGATAAAGAAGCGTTCAAAGCCATTGGTGAACAATAAATTATCATTCGAGCAAATTTAACTGACAAACACATTATGTGTAGATTATCCCTACCTGCCAACAGGCACACAGCCCTGCTGGTAAAGGGATTGGGGGGTAGGGTCGGAAAGTACCAAGTCTGGGTTCGATCCTTGTGACCATCACACACACACACACATAGTAGAGAAGAGTGGGACCAAAAGAAATAAAACGAAAGATAATCCCTACCTAGGTACGAAGTGGCAGTTTATATTAGAGAGGCTGGTATTGAAAGTGAGAATGAATACATACGCTTTATTAGCAGATGCCGTTTTGTAATTGAACCAAACATTATGCTAGGTATCTGCTATTGTAAAAAATTACAAAAAGAAAAAAGTTGAACCCTAGTAAAAGGCTTTGCAGTTACAATTCTCCTGTATTCCCCATTATTCTTTTTTTCAGGACAAGTCATTAGGCTCATTGTGTGTCAAAATTCCTACTTCTAATCTTGTACAATGAGGAAAATCCTTAACTTGTTTCTGTATGCCAAAAATGACTTCTAGATGGAAGTACCTTCTGGGATTTTGTGTACGTTGGCATTCTGCAAGTTTGACGACGAACCAAGTCAACCTGAAAGTCATAATTTTGTGGGCATCAACCACGACTCAAGTCGCGTGGTTAGGCCTCACCAATTTGGGTGATCGTCAGCTGAAGTTTGAGGCGGCACAGGCTTCCAACCAGATTTCTCATCCCAGTACATATCATAATATATATGACCCGGCACATGATCCGCCGTGCAGCACCAAATACCCACATACCGCTTGACACGATTCCTAAATTGTTCTTCCATTTTCTGACCAATTTATGCAACAGCATCAGGAAGAGAGGAAAATGTTGCAAATGAGACCACAATCGCACGACAAAAGGGAGAACAGATGAACTCTTACCTGGTCAGTAAAACCTTCAAAAGCATCTTGCATAGAAGAGAACTGAATGACTTTGATGTCCTTGAAGGAGGAGAACACCATCTTCAGCTGTACATTTAAAGGTGATATTAGTCGTGTTCCCTCATTACTTAAGCTCCAAGTACACAGTTCACTGTCTTCATTATGGATTAACTTAGAATTACACACAGCTTTCTGAAGATAAGACATGGAGAGAAAAATAATAAAAACAAAAGAATAATTAACCAGCACTAGATGGCATCTCTGCAAGCTATGGTTTGAAATAAAAATGGATTTCCAAGATGTTAGGGTAGAGAGAAAAAGAAACTCAAAAGCTCACCCAAGAAGATGGTATACACAAACAGAGTCATATGCAAGAAATATCAAAGGATATTGGAGGTTGCCAATAACCATCTTGATTACCGTTTCTTCGTTGCTGCGCTTTGGTAATCTGATCACTCTTGGAGAGCCGGTGCTATTGGTTACTTCACAATCTTTTGTTCCTCCTTGACAAAACTTAACATCAAGCCATGATTCTTTTACCTGGAGAAGCAAAACACAATAATTTACACCGGAACTAACCAATCGAGAGACCTTGCAAATGGTCTTCCTTTACCTCTTTGGGCATCAATGTATTGTCAAGGAGAGAATACTCCCTAATGTTGATCCCAGGGCCAAATTCATCCTCTGGCATTTCCTTTAACATGACATTGACCTGTTGTGCAGTAGCTATGGATTACTCAAACAGAAACAAATTCATGCTTGATTTACCATCTTGCCTATCTTATCCAAGGAGAAAAACTGACATTCCAGAATCCAAGAAGTTCATTGAATAAAATAAGTTCTACCAATTAACATTTCACCCAACCAAAAAACTTCCGAGCGTGCTAAAGCCAGTTATGTCAAGCATAACAAAGAAGAAATACAGTTGAAAAGGGAAAGGGATAAATACAGTGAAGACGTGTGGAAAACCTGAAAAAAGGACCAAACTAACGGACTGTCCATTTTTTTATTAACAAGTAAACCAACAGAATGGACTGTCCTTGGAGCAGAAGGTACAAAAATGAGACCTATGAGGCAGAAGACATTAACATAAAGAGTTTTTGCTTGTTTCACCACTGCAGGATCCTTATAAACAATCTCCAAAGTTCCACTAAAGAGGCAAATATTCAAGATTTTTCATTTGTCAAGGCAGAAAGTTAGGAACTCAATGCACAGGAAATAGAGCATGGGCTACCTAAGAACTGGAAGAGAGGACCAAGAAGAAATAAAAATTAACTAATTAGGTCACAGGATCCAAGTCATATTACTTGCGGGGACACTTGACATGATCATGACCAAGTAAAAAATGTAGGGGACTGCGGGATACCTCAAATACGTGGTCCAAAGGGCATATAAAGGGTTGCCTAGTCATAGATCCTTCCAGAACCCCTGGGTGGGGAAACCACAGCCTATCCAATCTACACCATAGTGGAGGCATAATCTGGAAAACACGACAGATGAATACTCAGCCAAAATCTCCATAAGCATCCAGTAATTATAGTTAAAAATCAGTTGCATTGATTAAAAAGATTCACCAAACTAAAGTCCACACAGTGGTAACATTATGCTGAATATTAACAAACTTTAGTGGGCTCACTCTAAGTGTTCCTCTTCTCAATTTCTCTAGCTTTAAAATCTCTCACAATAATGAAAACAAACACAAATAATAGTGAATGATTGTGAACTTCCTCACCAGTGTACGGTTTAACACCAAAGAGATTGCAAGTGCCGTCCTTATTTGTTTTATCTGAATAAACAATTAGGCCAAACAAGGGGTCAATAACATGTCCCGATAAATGGCAGAATATAGTAGGGTTGGTTTAGCCTCACCTGATAATTGATCAGAGTAAAATGTGTGTCAATGGTATGGTCTCCATCCAGTAATAAACTCTTTGGAATAGACGGCTTAAATGATAAGAAACCTCCTGCAATAAGTAAGTCCCTTGAAAAAATCAGTTACAGCTTACTTGGAAAGAGATCACTTTGCAAGTGCCGGGTTTCAAAATGCTTCATTTAATTGGGAAAAGAACAGAGGTAAAAAGTAAAACTCTTCTGGCTTCGCAGACAAATCACAGGGGATGATTCGTTTTATAGATAGGCGCCTGCAAAAGTTACCAAGTTTGCAAATTTGGATGACAAAAGGTGGATACATCACTATTGCTTTTTTTTTTTTGGCAAAAATAGGTTGTGTTATTTGACAGAAGAAATCTTCATATGCTAAACCCACCAGCTTACTGAATACATGCACTGTTCGTACCAACAAAAATAAATCCAAAAAGATAGTTACTTTATCATATATGATTTACACTGCTGGCTAAAGACATGAAATTCAGCTTCAACTGGTCATTGAAATTCCACCAGAATGGCAAAGATGATAATATAGGAAACATTCAGCATGACATATGATATTTCTCTCAGTTACTTAAACAGATTTGTGCACAAAGAGCCAGACTGTACGTCTATAAGTGTCCCAGTAACAGACAATAGCACCATATGTCACTAACACCCAAAGAAGTGTGAAAGACTGCAAATACCCTAAATATTGGAGCGTCAGTTGAGTAAACAGATGCTTGCACATTGCAAAGTCATTACGATAGGCACATTTGGATTCCTAAGAACAACTAGGATATTCATGGACCACTCAGAGAAGCATTATGAAACAAAAGCATGAGGGACAAAGGGAGAAAAGTATAACCTGGAGATCAGTTTCAACCCCAAAAAGAAGATGCAAGTGAGCTGTAACAATTTGGAGAAGGTCTAGTCTATCTAGCTAGCTAATAAGCATCATGCAGCGTGAAATGGTAACTTCACAACATGTTGGGCTGTTAATCACCTGGTGTGTCATAATACTCCGGTGGATCATAAAATACCATTGCCTCTCGCAAGCGGTGACGTTTCCCTTCAGTGCCTGCATACTGGAATGTGGTATGCACTGCATATGGCTCTAACCTGAGCTGTTGATACATTGCCTGCAAACATATATGAATTTTTGAAGAAAAAGTTGGATTGCATGATATGTTCTATTATATGTGCTTCATCCCTACAAAAGAGGGGAAAAAAACACGACAAAAAATATCACGTCTTACCTGGACAAAATATGTATGGCCACTGCAAAAAATGCTTGCAGGCAATACTCCCAGCTTCAGACTTCCATCAAAAGCATATACAAGCCCATCATCCCCATCAACAGCTGGTCCTAACTGCCTGCGAACAATATCGTTGAAGCCATTTTGATCCCATATCTTTTCATCAGCTAGAAGCATGTCTTTCCATTCTTTAGCCAATCTTTTGGCAGATTCTGTTGGCCTCCAGTGGAAAATTCCAATATTGTATGCAGCACCAACTGGGGGTACAAAGCAAATTCACGTCATAAAGCAGCTTCGGAAAGACAATTGTGAATGTCATACAGTAGATTGGAAACAGATTTATTGCCAAATGATAGAATATAATGCTTTGGATATGCATCGAGAGAGACAAATTTGAAGCTTGTAGTTCATCTGACAGAATGATCAGAACAGCAGATCAGTGCAAAGTTTGTAAATTTCAATTGTGTAGACACAGAAAAAATATTGCTATAAGCATTTCACCCTTTCACGAGGACAACCCTTCATTTCCCAAGACTGTGACAGACAAGTGTATTTCTTTTTTGTGGACCACACAAGCATATATTGATTCAGTGAAAATCCATACAAAGGGAAACTTTGGAAAACATTCAAGAGCATCCACGTAACAGAGAGTTTATGCAAAGAGACCTTAAATTCCACAACTCCCAAACAAGCCTTTGTTTTGTCTTTTGAACTGGCAAAGATTACTAAAATAACACCTCAAAAGATCTAAACATGGACAGGAATCAAAAACTGATTCCTAGTGTGATGCCAGCTCTGTAACCAGACCACCTAAAGCACGCTCACCTTGACAGGTATCTAATCTTAAAACTGAGAAATCAAGTATAAAGCCTGAAGAACGGAGCTGAAACCCAGGAAGAGAGTATTTTGCATACTTTAGTAAGAATTTTCTTCTGGTAGGTAAACATTTTTCACAGCACAGATATCTAAACAATAGTCCAGGACTGCTCATGTACTATGGCATCATGGAAGCTAATAAACGAAATGGCAAGGAGCGAAAGAATACAAATTACAGTGGGTAAGGAGTTCACCTTGTTGCCAAATATCCAGCCTGTCATCAACAACTGTTGGTACAACTTGATCACTTGAAGTCAAAACATCTGCTTCAGGATATCGAGCAAGATATGGAAGGGGATTCTGTTAGAGGATGAAAGTAAGTTAAGCAACATGTATAATTTCTATTATCTAGACAGCATCAATAAAAAGAAAGGATCCCATAGCACCTTACATTAGGCAGCCTATCATCATAAACAAAATTAGAGGAGTCATGTACAGAATCAAGTCAAGACAGGTCAGATCCTCCTTTCCAGATGGGGATTTGCGATGTTTATTTTGTGCTACTTCTAACTTTATATTGTCCTTCTAAGATCTCGAATAAGCTTTAACTCTCTACTCCTCAATCATGGAACCGATGGACATTGAGACACGTGCTTACACTGTCTGAAACATATTTCTTTAATCTCATCCTCATTTGAAACAGCCTTCACATTCTCACGGTGAATTATCTTCTCCTCATATTTTCCCTTCACCGATCAACCAGTAAAGCATCTCACAACTTTTTTCCATATTTCGAATGTTTGCAAGCACCATTTCCTAACCACATTCAGTTTCAGAAACCAAAGATTGCATATGACCTTTTCAGAAGACTTCCTTTTTGAAAGATACAGGCATGCCTTTCCATTCCATTTCTACCCTGGCAAGAGCTGACGTGACTATTTCCGCTCTTTGTAGCATCAAGAAAGCAAGAAAAGTTATCATCCAACACCGACTTATCCTAGGTTTTAATGGTCCCATCCTCCCTAGATCACAAGTAAGATTTTTCTGGGCTATACTCTCCCACTCAACTGCAAGTCTTCAAACTATGAATCCTCTGTCAAGAGCTGTATACCACATATTTGTTGACCCAATTTTATCCACTCAACCAATATGACAAAGGGACCTCAAATCGGACAGCACCTAGTAAGTCTATGAAATAACAGCACAAAGATAACTGACATGGATATGATCTTAACAGAAACAGAAGATTGATTACTAAAAGGACCAAACTATACCTTTAACCAAACCATATCAGTATCACACATCAATAACTCATACCCAAAGGGTAGGATAGCATCTATGAGAATGACTTTTTCTCTCCCCATTTTATGAAATGTAGGGGTACCCCAGCCAACATCTACCGTGCTCATATGACTTCCCATGTCAAAAACTGGAATGCCTTTCCAATACAAAGCCTCCAGCAGTTTTGTGTCCATTGCACCTGTTTTAAAAGATTCAGAATGTGATTTACCTGTTGCTGTCGGCAAAATGATATAGGGACTTGCAGGAAAGTAAACATCAATCATAACAAATAATTAAATTGAAAATTATCACTTACCAACTAGGAGATTGGAGAGATTCAAATCAGTCAAGTGCTTAACCCAAGAGAGGATGAAATCCATGAACGCGTAATTGCCAAAAGTTACTATGATTACATTATCCTTCACCCTTTGCTCTACCAATTCCTTTGTCAACCGAAAGGTCTGCAAAGAAGGCATTTTTGAATTCTTAGGTGGGACCCATATAGAATTCGCCGGTGCATCTCCATGCTGACTTGGAGGTGCTGGTGCTGCTGCACCATCTGTTGTAGCTAGGGAAGAGTTGAATGCTTGACCTAAGGGCGAATCTACATCTGAGAAAGAGCAACAGGTTAAATCCTCAGTTGAATGATAATCAAGGCAAAAAGAAAAAATCAATGAGAGTGGTTGCCAAAACCATTGATGGGACACTAACCCAATTAAGTTCGCTTCTCCGACCCAATAACTTGAACGAAAAATAAGAAGAAATTCACCATAACACTCCAATGAAATAGTTCTGATAACTAGCATACAACCAGGCCATAGTTTGACAATGTATCAACCAACCATATGTCTTGGATATAAAAGATCATACGCGACAATTCTTCACAGAACAGCAAGCAACGAGCTTGAGGCGCTACACTTACATAAACTGACCAATTGCCAAAAGAACCTCAAGCACTCTCTAATTATAACTTCTAACCCACCACAAACAACAAGATAAAACAGCAATCAACACCATTCACAAAGTAGGCCACACCGACGGCGACACGCGCGAGACGAAGCAATTAGAACAAGAGACGAAATGGCACAGAGAGAGAGATCACATGAGAGAGAGGGAGGAGAGGAGAGCCAGGAAGTGGAGTCCGGAGAAGACTTGTCGGCGGAGTAAACGGCAGAGAAGACGTAGAGGGACGAGAGGACGATGCCCACGATCACCGTGGTGTAAATCGTCAAGAACAGCGGCCTCGAGCTCACCACCTCCTGGCACGAATCCTTCAGCCCCATCCCCCGCCGCCGTCAGCGAGCGATTCTTGCAAATGCTCAGCCAGTCACGACTCCTCCCCCAACTGAAGAAGAAGAAGAAGAAGAAGAAGAGGGTAATCGAGCTAAAACCCTACACGATCGAACCCATTCTCGTTCCACTCTCTCGCCGTCGAATGACAATGTCCGAGAGAGAGAGAGAGAGAGAGAGAGAGAGAACTGTAAAAGGTAATGGCTTTGGGGTGATGCAGAGAACTTTGCTGGATCTCTGTCTCTCTCTGTCTGTCTGTCTCTCTCTCTCTCTAGATCGCCGGTTTGGCAGAATAGACAGGTCCAGCCGGGAAAAGTCAACTTCCATGGTTGTCTGAAATCCTAATCTCTCTCTCTCTCTCTCTCTCTCTCTCTCTCCAATTTTTTTATCCCAATATGGGAAGTAGGTGATTAATGAGGGAATCTTGAGATGAATTAGGAGGTGGAGAATAGTAGTATTCAAATGTTCATGATCTTATGGGAGGATCAAAACTCTCAAAAGTCACTTTAGGAGGTTATTCATGAATGAATGATTACAAAACGGTTTAGAATGGCAACAACATTTGAGGAGCACTCAGATGTTGGATTTCAAGCTAGTCAATGTTGGAACCACTTAAAGTGTGTTTGGTGGATCGGATATAACTCCGGATATGATAATTTATTTATCGTATTTGGTTGTGAAATCCGAATAGGACGGATATGAAAAAACACGGCGGATATATGGCACGAGAGATAATACGAATGTTATTTGGATATTGCACGATCGAGACCGGTGCCCGCCTCGCTGCCTATCGCAAACTCCAGAGATAGCAATGCTAGCCACCACGCGAGGATCACCACCTCGCGGTTGTTTTCGATCGTGTTCCCCAATCGGAGCTTCCCGATCGACATCTACACTTTTCGCTCAATCCGACACCGTCTTCTGGGCCCTTGAAATGAACACCTTCCGATGTCGCTACTCGAATATTATCACCATAGCATGCAAGCTACCACCACAGGTTGTGTGTTGCCATCACTCTGTTTCTTGTTCTCACTCGGGGCTCTCTATGTCCCGAATCTAGGCTCCCTCTCTCTTCCCGCCTGCTGGTGACCCATGTCAACATGCTCAACCCTGGTCGTCATTTAAAGACCTCTCACTTCGTTACCCATGTCTATCAATCCCATCGAGTTTTACCTCTTTGTATATGTGATATAGAAAAGGGATCGTGACCCTTGCGCACGGGTGGGATAATAACCCAAGCAGTCCTAAACCTATTCTACGGATGCTAATTCAATCATAAACTTTCCAATTGTATTAATGTAGTCCTAAACTTTTGTACAAAATTCTAATGCATTCCTTTCGGCCAATTGCTGTCGGAAATTGCTAGCACGCTAACATGGACAATTTGTGGATCATCGATTTTCGGCGGCAATTGGTCGGAAAGACTAAAATGAAATTTTGTGCAAAAGTTTAGAACTACATTAGCAAAATTGAAAAGTTTAGAATTGAATTGGCAATCGTACAATATATTTAAGATTGAATTAGTGATTTTTCCCCGTGCTGGTTGCAATCATAGAAGCGCTGATCTCAGAGCGAGTGAAGTACTAGCCTTAAGCGACCTCTAATTTGAGGTACCCCAAAGCCCCTCTTTTTCCTCACAGGCGAAACCTATGATCAAGATTGAATTGGCAATCGTACAATATATTTGAGATTGAATTAATGATTTTTCCCTGTGCTGGTTGCAATCATAGAGGCGCTTATCTCGGAGCGAGTGAAGGACTAACCTTAAGCGACCTCTAATTCGAGGTACCCCAAAGCCCCTCTTTTTCCTCGCAGGCGAAACCTACGACCAGGTTTGAGAGATCCGCATCTTCCTCCTCAATGGCTCTATCCACCCCACCCCCCTCGTTAGATCACGGCGACAACATATGATTTCAAATATATGATGGGATTTTCAATCATGTCTTAGGTGCACCAAATATATGATGGGATTTCTACAATTCAGATGATTGTAATCTCACATTATCCTATCCCATTCAAATCCGTGTTCAAACAACCAAATGTAGCCCAAATATCGTTTGCGTGAGTACGAATTGCACAACGGATTAGTGAGGAGTATCGACGACTCCACCATTAGATAGAGTGACGTTTTGTTAGCACAAGGTGAAGTCATAGTGAGAAGCTCGCCAACCTCAAAGATTCGAATTGCAAATGGTTTTGAGCCTTCATGGCTTAAATTGAAAATTGGAAAGGGGGTACAAGACTCGTGAGTAATAAAGGAGATTACAACGGCGATTGCCGCTCCACATCATTTTCATTCAAGAAACAAAGGGGCACATGTGATTTTACAATACTCCAAGGGCAATGTTTTTTGCTCCAATCTACCTTTTGATTGGTGGATTGAAGATATAATATCATCCATATTTCATTTCACTAAGTGCACATTAGTGATGTTTATACTGGTACCACACCAATTAAAGGTATGGTTTGAAAAAATACCCTCCATCTAATTTAACAATATAGGAAAATATAGCCCAAATAGATATCCTTTTCTCTTTCATGAATGAAAATGATGGTGAATCCTCAATTACCTCTAGAAGCTATGTTTCAAGTGTTGATCACCCTAGACTCAATCATAGCTTCACGTTTGATTTTGACAATGGCTATTACATTCAGATTAATTAGATATTAAAGTATTTATTTGCAATAATAACTATTATTTTGTAGGAGGGCATTTTTTAGGAATTATTAATTGTTCCTTGAAAACATAAGTATTTCCATCGAAATACATGACTTTTTGGAATGTGTTATTACTCAAAATTATTTTCAAATATGTGCGGATATGCGTCGTCACTATTGTCACTCGAATTTCGGTTAACAAGACCCTATTTTGTATTCCTTAGTCATGACAGGTTTTACGCAAATCTTAAGCAATAGAAATTATGTATCTATATCGCAGCTTATTCCTTATAGTAAATCCATAAAAATGCTGGCCTTTCTCTGCCCCCTCTTACTCATTAACAATTACTATCGTAACTCAAAGTTACTTGACATTTAGTAAATCATTTAATTGAACACCATACATGATATTAATCGTCTATTAACAGACGTCTCTTGCATGAGCATTCTGAGAGACTCGAACTTCATTCAAATCTGACGTTCGAACTAACTTTAATTGGACCTTGATTAAAGCAATCCGCCACTGCAGCTCCCCTACTTTGACTCATCTACACTCTTTTCATCTCAGGTTTGCTCTAATGCCTTTCACGGAGGGAGAAGAGAATCCTCAGTAGACGGCTCTTTTGGTTGATGCTAGAGAAAAAAACACACAAAAAGTTTGTGGGAGAGAGACATTTTGTTTATTGTCATCCAAATATTACTCGATAACTAAAATATTCCTCGTTATCCTTTGAAATTCTCTACTGTTGCGCTAACATTTGGTTCATGTGTATCGGCTAGGGCTTCACCTGTGTACTGGCAGAGCATAGCTTTATAGTAAATCGGTTACCTTTTAACTAAGTTCTTGTTCATTCGATCAAATTCATTTACAAGTGACATTTGAATATGTTTCCACCCTGTCAACATATTTGCAAGGACTTTCTCAGATTCAGATCTGGCGTCTCCAGTTGACTCTTTGTTTTCTTAAATTATCTGTGATTGGTAATAAGGGCGCGTTTGGTGATCATTCTGTTCTCGAAAACAATTTCTGCTGAGAAATGATTTTTTTTATTCTGTTCCCGAAAATAATTTTTAAGTATTTGAAGGCGTTTGATAACAGCCTAAAATTTCCATTCCTGGAATAGAAAAAGAACATAAATGCGTTTAGCAACAGCACAAAATATCTTTTTATTAATAATATTTTTAAATATTTAAATATTTCTTTCTTTTTTTCTTTTCTTTTTTTTTTCTTCTCTTTCTTGGCTATGGCCGGGTTGCCGGCCATGGCCGGCGATGGCTAGACCCTCGCCGCCGCCCTTGCCGGCCTTTTCCAGCTCTCGTCGGAATTGGCGAGAGCTAGACCCTCGCCGCCGCCCTCGCCAGATCCAGTGAGGGCGGCCCTTGCTCGGGCCGCTAGCCTCGAGGGTGGCCCTCACCAGCTTGGGCGAGGCCTCGAAAAGGCGGGCGATCCGACGAGAGCGACCCTTGGCCAGGCCGCGAGGGTCCAACCCTCGCCCTCGCTTGTGGCCGACGAGGGCCGCGATGCCCTCACCGGTCCTGGCCTGTGGCCGGTCGCCGGTCGCCGGCCACCAGCCACAGCCAGGAAGAAAAGAAGAAAAAGAAAAAAAAAATTTCTCTTCTATTTTTGATTTTTGTTCCTAGAATCAAGAAGCAACTTTTTTTTACTTCTTGATTCTATTCCAAAACTGATTCTGGGAACAAATTTGTGTCCGGGAACAAAAAATTTACCAAATGGATTTCCGTTCTTTTTTTTTTTTAGGAACAAAAGAAAAGAATCAATCACTATTTGGTAAGTTACCAAATGCACCCTAAATGAACTCTCGATGGTCAAAGACACCGGCTGAGTGTCTCTTTTGGAAATGTTGAGGATCCTGTGTTACATTACATGTTTTATGCATTAGTTTGGCCGTTAGGGTTTCTGGTTGAAGCATATAGGATGATGATATAGAATTTCACATGACAATTTGAGTTGACCAAGAACATAAAATCGACACATTTGAGATCCTTAATTACACACCTATTCTCCTTTGGCATTGACTCTTTAACAAGTTTTAATTAGATGTTAATACTCTCCAATGCTAAATGCCAAAGTGCTGAATCTCGGTGGCATATTTTCGTCAAAGCCAAAATGACTCCTTATTATCCTAAAAACTCGTGCCCTTTTCCCAAACCTCTTTCTCTCCCTCGAAAATATATTGTATAGCTCGATAGATAGAGGCATTGGCATTTGTTTCCGTCACTAAAACAAGAGAGCAAGCCTAGGAAAAAGAGAGGCAACTATGTGGTTCTTTGGATTCTCCACTGCAAGCGCTAGGAGTTTCATGATTATCGGAGCAATTTTGGTAGTGATCCTGTTCACAATCCTCCTGAGGAAGTTGGTCGTCTACATAGATTCACGGGAGAATTCCCGGGGCAGCGAGAAACCGCAGGACGGGTCGAAGGCCGCGTGCTCGGTGAGTTGCGCAGCGGTGATCAGGACGTATGCGCTCGAGGAGCTCAAGTGCGCGACGAGGAACTTCAGGGTCCGGATTGGGATCGGCGCCACATCGTACGTGTACCTGGCCGAGCTTGGGGACGGGAGGTTCGGCGCGGTG